TAATAAAAAAAAACACAGTAGATCTGTATGCAATCCAAGTATTTGTAAAGTGGGTAATTTCTCAGTAGATGTTATCTAGAGTCTCATTATAAGTGATCACTACATAGGACTTAATGTCTGGTTGTAACCACTCTGAGAGGGCTATTTTTGACATTAACAGCATTAACTAAGACCATGTTGTTAGTCTAAACTTGAGACGTAATGAGGCTCCTCTTCTGTTATCACATTGATGAACAATGCATGTAGGTTCTCTTTATAGCCCTAAAGGCAACAATCTTATAAGTGAAAGTCTCATGGGTCCACGAATGGATGAAGAATGGAGAATAAGACCTTTTCAAAACACCTTTTTTAACAGCAGCCTGTGTTGTAAGTCAATGTGTATGTTGAGAAAGTGTACTTAGACAAAGCTTTCTTGCTCTATATGCTGAGGTGTGCCATAGGCATTGTCATCAAATGACCATAGGAATATCAACAAGTCTGATTTTTTGATCCAAATAACCAAAACATCTTGAATCTATTTTGCATACATAATGATGTTGTCACTTAAAAGAAGTAAGGGTGTTTTACGAACTACTGGTATAATGGCTATAGTATAATGTTCCTGAGATAGGAATGCCCTTATGTGCCATTCTTCCGTTTTGTCTTTGAGCATGTTACTTTCCTCCAAGAAAGGGTCATCCCTACTGTCGTTAGAGCTAGTATTTATTTACAAATTTTTCTATTATTATGTTTAAGCAGAACACCATGAATAGCTTACTATTGAATCACTTTTAAAATCAATAAAACTTCTCAAAAAACAAAACAAAAAACCACATATCAAGAATATAGTATTTTCAAAAGATCTAGATAATTTCACTTTATCTCTATGAATGAAATAATTGGTACAATTTATAGAAAAATACTAAATATTTATATTTGGCCTCATTATTTTGTAAGCTGAAACATGACCAAAGCAAAGATGCTATTTTTAGAGTTCTGATAGCTAAAATTTAATATGAGTCATTAAACCTGTATATGTACAATTTAATAACAATCTAACATAATACATGCTCAATATTTTCAAGTTATTTAAAATGGACCTTATAAAATTGCAATAATCAAACAAATTCAGCAATTAGGCCTATATAAAGTTATTTTAAAAATAGTACAGTTAATCAGATTATTTGAAAGTACTGATAAGCTCAGAAGAAAAAAATTAGATAGAAACTTTAATTAAATATCAATCATATAATAAATAGTAAATAAAGAATAAGGATGGGAAAAAAAACAATTTATTATTAAAAATAGTCTCATTTAAATGTTTTAAATTATATTGATACTTTGGAAAGCAAATAATTTATACTATTTTTTTCATATCTATTATTATCTATCTTTACTTAATTGTTTATTTTATTTTACTTAACCTTTCTATTATATTGATAAATTCTTTAATTTTAAATTGTAAAACATATACACTGAAGCATTTTTGCTTTAGAACATAATGTAATTTAAAAGTTTGTGTTTCAGAATCTGAAGATAATTGCTTAAAACAGTGAAAATATTACTTTTGTAAATAAATCTACTAGTTCTAAAGGTCTGTTTATCATTATAATAATTTAATTAAAAAATGGAAAATGAATCAATTTATTTCATTTACCTTTTTCTGCATAAGCATTGTGATTATCTTTGATGAATGTAAGTTTTGAAATATGAATTATTTTACAAAATTGAACCAATTATTTATTACAATTTCCAAGATTACAAGTGAATTTGAATTTTGTATACAATAATTTTCTAATATAAAATGCTTAATTCATAATCCAGACATGTAAAAAAATTATGACATATATTTCTTTTTGTTGCATGCAAAATACTGCATAATTTGAAATATAATGTTCAGGAGGAGAACTAATCAAATGACCATTCAAGTCTAGACCCAATCTCTCTAGTTTTTTCCCTTACAAGATCATCTAAAATCCATTTTTTCCCCCCTTTACAATATAGAGCCATGCACTATTGATGATATTAAAGAAAAAATCTGTACTGTTTGGCAACATATCTTATTTTATGTTTTTGAAAATGACAATGCAGTTTGCAAGTATGCAGCATCATGTCATTCTGCGCATGCAACAGGAGCAACATCCACTCAAACATTTGCTTTCATATTGATTTTGTCTATGAGAATGTATTTTTAGGACAACAACTCGCTCTCTTTCTGTGTGTGTGTGTGTAGAAACTATCACTATTAATAATCATCTTTGTTATTACAAGTAATTCAAAAATTCTAATTTTCCAATTTTAGAATATTTGAAAATTATCAATCATCATCATCATCATCATCAACATATAATATAAAAATAAACAAGGTAATTTCTCCTCTCAACACTGAATAGATATAAAACATTGCTTTGAGATCAAAATTTTGAACAATTCCCATTTGTTTTTTAATCTATATCTTTCCACAAAAATAGATTTATAGATTTGATAATGTTTCAGAATTAAGTATAATTTTCATTTCAATAAAGCATTGTTTTGCATCTAATCAACCTCAATTTATTTACAAGCAACTAATTAAATATTAAAAGAATCTAAATCTCAGTAATCAACATTTTTATAAAATTATTCCATCAACTACCACAAGCACAGCAACATTCAATCAAATATATGTTCCATTTTTTTTCAAATTTTGTAAATTCTATTTTACATTTGTTATTAATTTCATCATAAACCTGACACAGCCAATAAAATTGATCAAAAGTTTATCAATTAGAGTTTAATTTTTGTTGGATTTTTGGTTATCGCATCAATTTTCAACAATTACATCTAAGGATGTCCTGATACCAACACAGTATCGATACTTTTCTTCGGGTATCAGATCCAGTACCGTTACATTTTTCACAGGCAGGTAAGATATGACCAAAATTGAATTTTAAAGCCAAATCCAAAACCAAACCTCATACTATTTTTGGTTAAGTTAAACTTATATAGTAAATATTAATGACCAAAAATCAATAAATTTATCACATCGAATTACATTTTCAGAATGTATTTACAGTACGCTTAGAGTTCAGATCACTATTTATAACTTGCCAATTACTCAAAAATATATTAAAACTCAAAATTAACTGACACGGTATCTGTAACATTTAGTTTATATCAGAAACTAGTAGCCTGGGATGCCCCCTAGAGGGCGTTATTTACAAATTTCCATGAGGCACGGTTCCTTTGACTTTTTTGTTCCGATCAATATGTCAGACAAAAAATTAACACACGTAAACTGGAACGATATACTACAAACAATAATTAACACCTCAATACCACTTCCAGCAGTCAAAAGATTTTAATAATCTAACGTTTTCGGCCGTCTTTTAGAGGCCCTCCTCAGGATGAAACATTAAAAAACAGTTCTATCTTTTGAAGGATTCTAATAATCGAATACAGCTATGTTCCGAACTTTTAAATATTTAAACGACGCGTACGATATAAAAATCATTACGCTTACAACACAAAAAAATTATTATTTTAAAATAACGCTATACATAAATTGTTATTGTAGAGTTGTACAATACCGCTATACATCAATTATTATTATATAGTTGTGAAAATTAGCGTGATGTAAACGCTTTGTTTTCTTATACAACGCAGAATGATTAAAAATAATTACACTTCCGATTATTGTTGTGCTTTGTGGCAATGTAAATAATATTTCCACGATTGTGGAATTGGAATATAATCGGAGTTGATGCAGTTTCCCTTTGTGGTTTCTATATAAATCTCAATAGCCTCCAATGAGCATAATTCGTGTCGGTCGAAGGCCCTATGTAAAAGAGTAGCCTCATCCCAACATGCTGTACAGCTCTGTTAAAGTCCCAATGATAAGATTTACCCTCCAAATGAAGAGGTGGCGACCCCCCCAAACTGTAGCCCCTGTGCGAACAATAAAGTCAGAGGAACCATACCCCTACTTGCAACCCTTCGCGAGATATAAGCCCCTGAAATAATAAATTCCTATTACAAATATACTGAATTATTTATATTGTTATATTGACCAAATAATAATTTATTGGCCAAATAAATAATAAAAATTTATATTGTTAATTTAAATAAGAATTAAAATTGTTAATTTGAATGTTTGAAATATGACACACGATAGGGGCACCTCTAGTGTCCGTTATCAAACGGTTACGGGACAGACGGATACCCGTTGAATGGGTTATATATATAGATAGATTAGTTTCAATAATTTGTTAATAACAACTAACTAAATAAATAACTAGAATAGTGTGTGTTATTTATGTTAAAATTAAAAAGCATATTTCAAAATCAAACCATGGACCAATATTTCCAGTTTCGACACTCAATATCAATACTAGCTGGTATAGATACTTTAAGACCGATACCTTAAAATCACTTGCGATACCAATATCGATACTTTTGTGGTATCGGCACATCCACACTCACATCTAGTTATTCGGCAACTCATCACTAAAATTATGACTTTTTAGAGTCAAATTTCACATCTCCAAAGTCTAGTTGAAAAAATTACATTTAAATTATTTTAATTTCTAAACTCTCAGCAATTTCATTGTTCTATATATATATATATATATATAAATAAACTTTAATACGATAATTATATATATAATAATAATAATAATGTACCGTACATATATGGACTGAATGGATGAATAAAGTAGAACTTACTTTTAGTTAATTTGTTTATGTATTTATATGCATATGAATGATTTAAAGGTAACTTCTACCAACAATACAACAGTTCGTTGTTTAGATGAATAATTACATTAGAGGTAAACAAATCTCGAATAAAAGAAACTCAAAATAGTTTTTGAACTTCTTTCTGTGTTTTATAAAAATAAAAATTGAGTTTAAAAACATAAAAGAAACGAAATCTAATTAGACAAGCAGACGTAATTACAATCGTATCGGACGAATAGAACAATCCGGAACAGAAATTTTACATCAGACAGAATCGATTCGTATTTGTTCACCATTCGACTTACCTTTGTCATCAAATTATGTTTTAGAATCTCAATAATTAGCTTTCCAAGAAAGATATCTCGTTCGGCGTTAAGACCAACAAAATGGCACCCAGACGCATATCTAACAGCGCTACCTTCTTCCAGAAAACAATATTTATTAACGTTTATATATTAGTTAATTTTTTATATTTATATTGTTTAATATTATATGTATTTGATGGCATATTCTTTAATCGTTTTTTTATATGGAAATTTATTACATAATATTTTTTTCCGTATGGCAACACTTAAATAAAAATCATTATGGCCGATGGCGGTTATGACACTGGCGTCTAATTACAGAACTATTCCGTAGCCGTAGTTCTGTTTTTTTACCGCGAGATGTCGCTAGTGTCGTGACGTTCAGACAGCGTACTGTACGGTGTGCTTGGAATTTTTTGTCGATATTTTAGCTTTAAAACCATACTTTATCATCGATAATTGTACTAATTACGAAATAACTTAAGAACATTTTTAAAAAATCAATAAAACTATGTACTCGTTTAAAATAAGAGAGGCTGACATTGACAGTTTTTGGAAGACAAAAGCGACTCTGATTGAAATCTGTTTTAAAACTTATTATTTTTTTCGTTTTTCTATTTTTGTTATATACGTATTATAATTATATTTAACATAATAGTAACACAACTATTATGTGTACAACTTTTCTTGTATTGAATCAATAAATTTCTTTTGTAATAAAGCCTTTCGACGAATTGAAAATTTGTTTTATTAAATAGAGACAAAGTAGCGACCTTTCAAAATATCTGTGGCGAAATTAGCGACTTTTATTTTAAAATGTAGCGACATTTATTTACGAACAGTTGGGAATACTGGTCCGAGCGGTCTTCGTCCCCGCACTTGAGTGGACTAGACCCTGAACACTGGGAGTTCGGTCGTGGGTTCGTGCCTCGGTCGGACGGGCTGGCAGCATGGAGTTTTCCGGGTTTTTTCCATGTCGCTGACGCCTGAATAGGAGCCAGTTTCCCATAAAAGTCCTCCCGAAAGACATTCTTTTCCCTCGCGCGCGTTTAGGCCATTTATAAGGCCGATTCTTCGGTCTCATAGCGATCATTAGATGTCTATTGGAGAAATAGCACGTAAAGCTAGAATCTCTATATAAACCCATTAAGTAACGAAAAAGAATACAGTCTGTAACTCTTCGGAGAAAAGAGCCTACGTGGCTGTAGTCTTCATATGAACCATAGAAGGAAAGAAAGAATACAGTCTGTATCGGTGTTTCTCAATGTTTTTCCATCTTTCTCTCCTTTGGGCTTAATATTTTTCTGTGGCTTCCCATAATGGTAGTACGGGAAAAAATGAACATTAAAAATTCCACTGCTTTTTTTAAATATTGCACAACGGATTTTTAATTAAAACAATTATAGCATATTTCATGTGAACTACATGCATGTGTACTGTACTTATAATTATATGTTCATTTTTAAAATAAAACTTGTAATTAAGTGGCATTTACTCTATTTAGTGTGATTCTTATGGTTGATGCAAACAATACGTTTCATGGTATACGCACTCTATACATCTACATGCAATATGCGTAAATAACCTATATTTTAATATTAAACATCATGGAGTAACGTGGGAAACATCTTTTGGTGAAACAAATGAAAATGACATGTAAATTCATTCCTTGAATTTAATTTTCAATTCAATATCTGTAATGAATAATATAATGCTAGTATACTACCGTAGCTTTGAAATTGTTGTTGCTACTACTTGGCAGTTTTAAATTATACTAATCAGCATAATGTGATGAGAGATTTGTTCAATAGTTGCATGCAATATCACAAACATTTCTATTACAAAATAAAAATATGAAAATTTTGANTTATGCGGAAATTCCTGGGAGTAAATGGAAGCTTAGGTAAACTTAAACATTTGATGGTAATTTGCTTATTGAAGTTGTTTTACATAGTTTTGTGATGTCTTGTTTCAGAGACGCTAAGCTTAATTTCGTGCATCCTTCAGATCAAAGTAACCTTCAATACTGGCAGTCCTCTACTTCTAGACAACTTGCTATTTCATGTTTTGCTTTTTTTCTTTTTTATGTCATTTCGCCCCTATAGGCACTAAGAAGGCCTTTTTTTAGCAAACCCATTATGGGTTCGGACAGACCCACAATGGGGCGGGCGGGTGGTGAGGGATGGGGCCCGACATATCCGAACGGACCACCCCCGAAAAATTCTGGAGATTTTTTTGACCCGTCCGGATTCGATCCTAGCTCCCCCAGAGCGGTACGCTGCCATCTTTACCACTCGGTTATCCGACCGCAAGGACTATATACTACAAGGATTGCCAGATCCCTATTCTACAATGTTAGCCAGGAATGGCAAGTTAGTGGCGTCAGACGTGTCCTGACCTCTCTGTTTACATAGAGCAGGGTGTGCACGTGTTTAGTTTTCGCTTTTAATATTCGTCCAATTTTGTGATTAACGAAGTGATTTATTTTAATATTTCTGTAATTGTTTTATTTGACTAAGTTTTTTATAAGGTAAGATGATTTAAATATAAGTCATTAAATATTTAAAGCTATATTTTTATGTTAGGTGAAGAACAAAATGCTGAGTACTAGGTGTGCTGTGTATGGTTGCAATAATAACCTTCTTTTTTCAAATTGGAAGCAACCTGTTTACATCGGGTTTGATCAAAAAATGACAAGAGAAATACTTTTAAAATTAATAGCAGAACTTTATTTACTATCGTATAATGTAGTAGCTTGCGTCAGTGACTGTAGTTGCAGTAACATAAGTTTATGGAAAGAATTGAATGTGAATATCAATGAAACGTTTATTATGAATCAATTATTATTATCAATGAAACGTATATTAGAGATATAAATATGTGGTTCGACATTTTTAATAGCTATGCACCAAAAGGTTCTGTTCCAAGCAAAAATGGATATGGTGTAGACTTGGAATTACAAGAAGAACATTTAAATAAAATGATAAAAATAATCTCAACAATGAGAGCAAGTGGAAAAAATGCCCTCCAAATTTTCCAGAAAGGAATGATAATCTCAATGAAATCGCTAATTGATCTTTTTCAAGATATGAAATCGACTTTTGATATAAAATACATCTGCACTTAAATCAAGATTGTCTGGAAAATTTTTTTTTTTCAAATTAGAAGCCGGGGTCCTAATGAACATCCAAGCCCATTAAATGCTATATATAGGATTAGATTGATTATTTTAGGTAAGAATCCTGGTATTTTAGAGTCAAAAGTAAATACTACAGATCGAAGACAAGAGGAATATATTATACCCAAAGTTTTAGAGAAAGCACATGTAGAAGTATCAAGTGAAAATACAGACCAATATACTGAATGTAAAACTACTTTTTCTTCAAATAAATCTTCAGGAAACTCTACATGCAATCTAGACTTTAACACAATCTCTGAAGAAACTTCCTACGATGCTCTCGAGTATATAGCAGGATATTTTGCCTATAAATATAAAGAAAAATACCCAAACTTAATTAATTCCACTAACAAAATTAAAAATCATCACAACTATAGCATTCCGTCATGGGTGCAGCGTTTATCTTATGGAGGGCTTATTAAACCTACTGATGAATGGCTAGCAAAAATTATAGAATGGAATAAATATTTCGAAATATATCACGATGAATCGTATAAAAAAGGCCCCGGAGTTGTACAGAATTAGTCAGTGGAAACAGTTTTACCTTTTACTTTAATAAAAGATTTTTGTAAATTAAGAACTATAATAAGAATTAATTATAGAAATCTTAAACAAGAAAACTATAAAATATTGAAAAGAATGCCTTCTGAAAATGGTGATTGTCGAAAAAAAATTAAAAAGTTAAGTAAGATAATCACATATTAAAAAGTATAGCTCATTAATTTGTTAAATAAATATTAGACAAAAGACTTGTAAATTTATTGACGTACAGTACACTTATTAAATCCGAAAATTCTACAGTAGTTTACATTTAGTAGTAATTTAATAATTAATTAAGAAATGATTTAATATTTTATCGTATTTTGTTATTTGAAAGGTCTGTCGTGTTGAACTAGAGGACTTGCTGTGACGTCACATAGATCCAAGGTCATGCTAACAAATATACGGGATCTGGCCATCCTTGTAGTTTAAAGTCCTTGATCCGACCGTCTTGTTTGTGACTGGATGTCATGCTGGATACGCCACATGTTCAGGCAACGTAATTTTATTTAATTAATTAAAGAAACTAAAGATCTAGAATTATTACTGAAGTGGCGGCGAATGATTTCCAGAGAAGACAAATATTACAAATGAACAGATTTCGTTTGCGAAAGACACTTTTCACCCCACTTTATTACTAAATACTGGAATGCTACTAACAGAAATTATGCGGAAATTCCTGGGAGTAAATGGAAGCTTAGGTAAACTTAAACATTTGATGGTAATTTGCTTACTGAAGTTGTTTTACATAGTTTTGTGATGTCTTGTTTCAGACGACGCTAAGCTTAATTTCGTGCATCCTTCAGATCAGTGCACCGTAATCTTTTCTTACGTACGGTACACCTTTCTACACCGTGGTCTATATCATATACATATTATACATGGTAAAGACTGTATCAAATTTCATTTATGCTTTAATGCGGATTGTATTTACTTTACAGTTAAGTTAAGCAACTATAGGGACATTGAGAAACAGTACGTGAAATCGAACCCCATAATTATATTAAAGAATAGTACACAGCACGGGATATTGGACGTTACATTATTTTAATAATTACGTAAAAGCAGTGACATAAATAGTATTGTTCACTACACAACTCTTCGGAAACAAAAATGAATCGCTCTGTTACTCATGGGTTGAGATCCTAGCATTACGTAACCTTTTTGTAAATACCTCCTGTAACGCATCGTAACAGTAATCTGCATACCCACCGACCCATGTCTCCGTTACGTAATTTATGGACAATGTTGTGTTTGTTTTACAATTGCTACATTTTGTTTTACAATTCTAAAACAAAAAAACAATCGTTAATTGCGTTGATTGGCTATGTACGAAACTGATATTTGAGATAAAAAATTACGAAATGTATAAATTTTAATTAAAAAATTAAGAAAGTCAATTTTAAAAGACAAAATAAAACCGCACTCTAATGGAACCAGATATGCTGCCATTATTATCGCCGGAGTAGAAATTATTTTTATCTTAATTTATAAACACGAAATAACTAGAAAAATATTTAAGTAATATAAAACTACTCCAAAAATATATGCAAATTATGATGAACTTTCAACTCAAAATGTACTGTAAACACTTCAAAATATTGAAAGCCAGAGAGAGAGAGATAAAAGATAATGGCGGCATTTCCGGTTTGTTAGTGCGATGTTAGAATTGTATGATTGGTAGAAGATAAATCACGTGCCATAAATGAAATTCTGATGGACTGTGTGATTTTTCGATGCTTATTCATTTAAATATGCTGTACATAGAAACTAAAAATTATTAATAGTTCAGCGACGATTTTCATAACTTTCCTGGCAAAAAATTTAAAATTGTGTCTGGCGCCATCTGTTACGATATTTTATTTAAAAACTTTTTATATTATTGATTATAAGCTTAATTTTGAGGGTAGAGACAAGTTTCATAAGAAATTATAAATGCTAATAACGAATGAAATCTTCATTAAGTCCGACTCCACTCGAGATATGACACACGACCCCGACTCTCCCACCCCTCGACCTTTAACCACCAAAATTTAGTACCAAAGTGGCTCTGAACTTCCCTGCAAAATTTTAAAAATTTTCGACAAAATGCACAGACGTTATTAAGCTTCAATGTGGATGAACAAAATCGTGCCCCTATGAACGCACAAACATACATACAGAAAAATTCCCTAAAATTTTTACATTTCTCGACCACATTCCATGATCAACAAATGACAGAAAATCACAAATTTCTAGCATATTCTGCAAATATAAAAGAAACTAATGAACGAAAGTTGATCATTGTCCCATGCAACTATTTTCACACTATATGGTTACTTGTTCGTCGTATGTTTGACCAAAACTACAGTCCATATTTCCATATTTTCGCAGCCAAATTAATCCCGCCCCGATTGCAACCAACGCTAACTTGTGGGAGCGCTGATCTGGCATTGAATCATAGAGTTTGAACTCCATGATTCAACCCCGTAATGTTAATTAAAGCAAGGTTATTTTTTTATGAATAAAATAACCAAGGTTTGAAGCTTCTTGCAGAATGTACAATGCCTTTTATAGAATGTGCCCCTTTTTCTTAGTCCGTGGGTGCCTCTATTTGCAACAATTGATTTTTCTACACTTTTCAGGGAATCAAGATATTGATTTTTTTTTCTTCTAAAAAAATAAATTTTATTTTCGGTGTTGATTTCTTTCCTCTGTTTGCGATTTTGCTTGCCGTCACTATAATTTTCTTAATCAGAAATATACAATTATGCAATTTTTACAATTACAATTCTGTATGGCATACAGAATTGATTTTTGTAATTTAGCATACGGTATGCTATGCATCAAAATATACAATTTTGATCTCTCAGAATTGACAAGTACTTATATATGACTTTAACTAACTTGTCCACTAATTATTTTCCATTTTCAAGCAAAAGAAAATTATAAACAGTCTGCAGTTTACAAACAATGCCAAAGAGAATTTTCGGTGTTGTAGTAACTGATAAAACATATACTAAAATAATATAAACGGGCGATTTCACACGAAATCTTTATATCGAAATTGCGTTGTTATAAATACCGCGTTATACAAGAATTCCTACAATTTGTGAACCGCATTATATCGAAACTATGTTGTATAAATATCGAATTGTACAAGGGTTACCTGTAATAATTTAGCCATTTCATCACACTACTTACCTGTAAAAATAAATAAGTAGTGTGATGAAAACATTTTTAATAAATATAAATCCTAGATTTTCAAGATACCGAAAACTGGTGCTATTTTTTGAGTTGAAGAAATCTATACATGAGCATATTTCATCGTCATAATCACCATCAGTAATCATAGGTTAATCGTCATAGATATCTGATGCAAGTTTGTGTCTTTCCAAATGTAACTGTCACAACCCTTACCACTATCTTTGGCAGGGATTGTAAAGTGGTTGATTTCGAACCCAGGGGTCATTAAGGTTTTTCGGGATTCGTTGAAAACGGTTCTTTAAGCATATATAATTAAAAAGGTTTGACGGGAGCTAAGGTAATCGAAATACCTCTTGAGATCCGAGATCCGGATCAATGTTCCCTCTAATTTTTTTTTGTAGATGAGCGGAACATATAGTTCTCTGAGCAAAAAAGTTTTTGCTGAGCATATATATATATAGGCTTATTTTTTCCTATAAAAATTAAAATAATCTAAATATATAAAATTGCTTGTCCTGACTGACTGACTGAATGACTCACTCACTGATTCATCATCGCCCAGAGCAGACCGCTTAACCTAAAGAGGTGAAATTTGGTAGACAGTTAGGGTACGTCATGGAAACGCACACTAAGAAGGGATTTTTCGAAATTCCCCCGCGGGGGGGGGAGAGGGGGAGTATTAAGGTTTAACCGGAAGAACTGCTTCTACTGTACTATTTTAGATGCGATTTTTTGTTTTCGTCTGCGTTTTAGTAGGGTATGCCATGCAATGCACACTAAGAAGGGATTTTTCGAAATTCCCCCGCGGGCAGGAGAGGGAGAGGATTTAGTCTTCATCGAGTACAGTACTTAGGTGTATTAAATTAATAACATTTCAGACATTGTTATAAATATTTTACCTATTTCGATTTTTAAAATGTTCGAACCGTTTTAAATTCGAATTTGTTATTGCATATTGGTTCGATTATAGAACGATTGTAAACGTTCCAGAAAATTGATCAAATTGAAAATAGTTCGTTTGATTCTCGGCAATTCTCATCATTCTCAGCGGTAAGTGTTATATAACAATTACTATGGTTGTTAAAATACTGAATATAAATGGGTTTGCTTGCAAAATCCGCGCGGGCAAAGCCGCGAGTAACAGCTAGTTTATTATAAAGTAGAGATTAAAATTCATTTTAAAACATACTTTTATACGAAATATTATCTTTTGTCACTGATTTAATGTATTTAATCGAAATATACGCAGCAATAATCATGTTACAGACAGAGTGAGAAATAAGTAAACAATTCAAATCGGTGTGCATGCTCGCCTGCGCGGCGCATAAATTCTCGTGCGCGGCAACAATTTGAACAGTGCGCTGCGCACCCGCGCAGCTTAGAGGGAACATTGATCCGGATTCCCAAGAATTCATTCGAGAAATGGTGCGTCTCGGATTCGTCAGGTCCTGTCTTTTACTACCAGGTTGATGCTATTGCTGGCCTGGCCGAATCCATAATGGGTCCTACTCATCATGAGTTTGAAAGTACCTACAAGGTGAAAAGAGTAAAAAAAGAAAGAACTTGTTTGCAGTACAGTATTACTACGAAAATGAATCCAAATAGATTTTTTTTTATTTCTCGTTTCTTCGAAAGAACTATATTACATAATTTAAACAATAATTTTTTCCTACTATCAGCCTGTTGGACTGGTGATATGGAATCGAATCTGGTCAAGAATCCCCAGAAAATTTTCATAGGAAATCTGTTTCGAATATGTCGAGCCCCTTGATTTGATACACATGCAAAAGGATAGCCGACTGGTGATAAATGCGATCGACGTATTTGGATTTACTCACCCATGAAAGTTAGTGAGCCGACCTGTATTTGTATCCAGATCAACAAGAGCTGGTGATCTGGGTACAAGTACAGCATCAACCTTACTGCAATGATGGCGTGTGGTTCGGAAAGTGTCGGTAGTGATATTATTGTGTTCTTATGTAAGAACTGGTGATTTTACCGCCTCATAAAAATAACTTTGAATTAATTATATTATTGTTAATATAGTTCCTCTCTGATTTTATAATTTCTATATCAGAACTATATATACATATAATAAGAGAAGACTGATCCAAATGTGATTCGGACAAAAAACCTAATGGAAGTGTAATACGCTTTCACTCCATCAGCCAACAGCATTTTTTTCCAATTTTGAATCTTCATTCTGACGGCACCAAGAAAGTCTTTATTTCATCATGCATCGACAAAGTCCACAATGACAGCGGCCGAATGGTGAAAAACAGGGCCTAACGTATCCGAAACATCCATGAAAAATTGCTGTAATTCGATCCCAGATACCCCAATGGCTTGTTTTTCTTTGACGGCCGGATGGCCGAGCGGTCAAGGTGGCAGCTACTCCGTCGGGAACGAATCCGGACGGGTCAAGGAATTTTCGGGGGGTGATCCGTTCGGATATGTCGGGCCCGGTCCCTCACCACCCGGTCGCCCCATTGTGGGCCTGGTCGAACCCATAATGGGCCTGCTGAAAAAGGCCCTCTTAGTGCCCACAGGGCAAAAAGAGTATAAAGTATAAAAAAAAAAGATACCCCAGTGGCAGACCAACTCATGTCCGTTTACACGAGCGGAATTACTCTATACTATAAAACCACGAAAATTAATTTGAACATGATCGGCTGATAAATTCAATATAATAATAATAATTAAAAAAATTTTTTGTGTTATCAACTGCATCTATAATGGGGTTTAATGTCTATGATTGGCAACACTGTTATGTTTATGTTGTACAATATACACGTGGTTTAACGCGAAGTATAGCGATATTAGTTTTTACGTTTAAAATGGAAAAGAAACAGTTTAAATCGAGTGAAAAAAGAAAAAATTATGAAGACTCGTACAGAAATTCAGAATTTGAGATGAGAACGAAGAAAAAATTTAAACATAGAGAATATCAAGATAAAACTGATGTTTCTGACAAACGTTTCAACTATAACAATGAAACATTTACGGATAAAAGAACTAACGAAGGAACTAGCAAAGAAGATTCTCAATATTTTGAAAAAGTTTTGGAAAAATTAAAGATTGGATTTGATGATGATGATGATAAAGAATTATTTATAGAAAATGTTTTGAAAGAAATCGAAAACAAAGTAGTCGAATTATCTTGTGGTAGAACAACTAGTTATTTGTTGCAATCAATGTTGGATATGTGTAATGATGCTAATTTATTTATAAAGTTCATGAATGCCATTTCTNGTATTTATTATTACCAAATTTCAACACTGCCTGAATAATATACTATAGTTTAGAATAATATAATATAGAATATATAGTATATAGTAGTATAGAATAATATACTATACAGAATATCAAGATAAAACTGATGTTTCTGACAAACGTTTCAACTATAACAATGAAACATTTACGGATAAGAGAACTAACGAAGGAACTAGCAAAGAAGATTCTCAATATTTTGAAAAAGTTTTGGAAAAATTAAAGATTGGATTTGATGATGATGATGATAAAGGTCAATTTGCTTTTATTAATTGAAGATGATAACGTATGAATTAACCTTTTGTTTCCTGACATAAAAAGTTGTGCAGTTTTTAAAAATTTGACAATTGTTGCATTGTACAAGTATCTGAAACCATCAATATTATTCATTCGTAATCTTATAATTTGAATTCCACTTATTCTGGATGATTCATTGCCAAGGATGATTTTCTTCAATACAAAACTTCTGATAGATGCAAGTTCTTTCTTTGTAGAATTTAGGTAATTTGTGCATATGTACACATATGCACAAAATATCTAAAAATAACTTCTACTCTCTCTTTATGCATGGTTGTACTGATTCTTTAAAACTTGTAAAGAGTTTGCCCTTATGACATAATCTAAGAAATTTAATATTTGAGACAATCATTTTTGACAATCTCTCATTCAGAATTTGCAGTTTGAAGTCCCATGCTACCTTTTGGATCTCTATTAAATGATCAAATTCTAAATGAAAGAATGGCTATTTTAGCATTTTGTTTTGTTTGAAAAATGAATTCAATTGTAATAGTGCACGTCAATATACATTTTAATTGTTGCAATTCATTACGAAATGTCCACTTTAAAGAGGTAAGTGGCCATTTAATAGGGACCAAAAAGCTGATAGAGAATCTTATCTGTTTAATGACGGTTAAGTTCAGAATTATATGTTTAGTTTTCATTGAGATAACCAATGTTTAGGTAAGTTAATAGCCTGTTACAGTAACAGAATTGTCAGAACTTTGTGATCCGAAATCCATTGTACTAGCTTCAAAGATTTCTTCAGGGCTACTACGTCTGTATATATATTAAAAGCAAGATGTTCTATCCCCACTGAAACTGAAATCAACACTATAAAGAAATAGTGTATAGGAGGGTCACACCTGTGACCCGGTGTGACTTTATTTTTGGAGTTGAGATGGCTATTCCTTTGAATAATAACTGTTGGTTATATACAGAATACAGATTTAGTTTCAGTCTATATTAGTTTTAGTAATTTTTATCTATATGTAAAAATCAAAATGTTTCATTGCCATCACACAAATAATGTAAATTTAAAAATTAATTTGTTTTACATTTTGAAAATTTCAAACAACTTAAACAGTTTTTAAAAACATTTTAATTTTCAACTGATTTAATTTTTAATTCAGTTTAAAGGCCAGTTTTAATTGTTATTATTTTTAGGCTTAATTTATTGGGATGCAATTTGAAAAACTTGTAGACCTATAAATTCTCATTGTCACCTGTCCATCCGCCTTTCCTTAATTTCAAGAACAGAGTTAGATAGATGAAAGACGAAACCAGATATGGAAATCTCAGAGGCAGGAGACCCAATTAACCATATATGAATTTCTGACATGAACTGGAAGCCACAGTATTTCAATTCAAAATTTTTTCCCGAAAGTTGTTAGATAGATGATCAGCACAACTCAATTGTTAAAGGAAAAGTAGGTTAATGTATACCTAGCAGTGCTTCAGTTAGTTTAGGTTAGGCTAGATTAACTATATTTTTAATAGATGTTTCCTTTTTTTCTTTTACTTTGTTCAAGAACTACTGTGAATCAATAATTAGTGATGTTAAACACTTGGTGGCTCCCCTCTGGGAGGAATCAGTCGGGAGCACTGCCATTTTAGTTACTTAACCGAAAAGTATGATATACAGGGACAAGCCATTACTAATTTGAGATGGAGAGCATATATTTTCAATTAATTAAATTAAAATAGGATTAAAAATTATAGCCCAGCATTGTGACATGTCACAATAAATGATTGCTTGTTTAGTATTAATTTACTTTTAGTTTTATAATTATTTTTAATAGTTATTAATTATTATTATTTATTTAATTTTTGCCATTTTTTGAACCCTTAATTATGATGTTTTAATTAATTGCATCTTTTTTTTCTTTTTCAACTTAACTATTGAAATTGTTTCAGTGTTGTTTCACACAAAAGATAATCAAATTTAAATTTATTTTAATTTCTTATTAAATTTATTAATTTTTGTTTTATAAATTTGCCTGTTTTTAAAAAAATTTTTTAATTTTAATTATAAACAAGTGAATATTGATTGAATTATTGGGCTACCTAGTCTATCATAAAAGAAGATAAAAAGTGGCCGATAACATTTAATATGCTTATCCTATCATTCCTTAATTAATCAATGGTGCCATCCCAAAATGCTCCCTTTTTAATTTTTATGTATTGTACAGTATAGGACATGTTTATTATGTTCTAAAGTAATTTCTGATAACCTAAGACTGTGGTTAATGCATTCTAAGTATAATGCCTTAAATTTAAAAATTGTTTACAGATAATATGACATTTTATTAATTCATTATTTAGTTACATTTTATATATTTTTACAGAATTATTTATAGAAAATGTTTTGAAAGAAATCGGAAACAAAGTAGTCGAATTATCTTGTGGTAGAACAACTAGTTATTTGTTGCAGTCAATGTTGGATATGTGTAATGATGCTAATTTATTTATAAAGTTCATGAATGCCATTTCTTCGGACTTAAGACAGTTGTGTACTAATCAGTCTGGCAGCCATATTGTCGAATCATTACTTAAATTAGGAGTAAAACTTTTACAGGTAGGAAAAAAATAATTTTTATAAATAAGCGTTAGACTGAGAAAGATCCAACAAGAAACTACAAAACTACATAGAAGCAAACTATTTCATCTTGGTTGAACAGTCATCATTAGGATGAGAACATTTGCTTCTACATAGTGTTTATTTATACATACCCAGTTAGAGTAGTTGAATAAGTTTTTATATGATTTATCATATATGCCTATAATCTTTTTTGTTGTAGATATAAATAGGCAAACAAAATATTAAAATTTAGAAATTTAATTTCTAAATATAAAAGCTTTTTTTTTTTTTTTATTTATTTTTCATTAGTAATTACTTTAATATTTGTGCATACTTTTTAATTATATTGATAAAAAATAAAGTAATAACAACAAAAAATACTTGTAGAAAAATTAGAAACAAATACAGTGGAACCTCGGTATACGACCTTAATCCGTTCCCGATGTTTGGACTTATACCGAATAGAACGTATACCGAACCAAGCTTTTCCATAAGAAGTAATGTAAAAATGATTAATCCGTTCTCGTGTAAAAAAATGGCTGGCTTTAAACACCTCACTTTCCTGGCTAGTTCCTGCTTGATTTTTTGTGAGATCAGTGTGTATCTTTTTAGCTTTCTCGCAAATAACTGCTTCCGATACGCTGTCTCCAGCACTGTTTTTCAGTTATCCAAAGCAAAAGCAATTTCTCGACATGATTTAATGTCTTCGATCTCTGTTTTGAAATTGATTTAACCCCTTTCGCAACGTTAGCAGATTTAATAATGTCTTTATTTTTCGCGATTGTCCATATCGTCGTTCTCGGAATACGGTAGGCAACAGTTAAAATCTCGAACACGCGTGCCACCTTCATATTTCTCAACAATCTCTTTTATCAGTTCCATTGTGATTCTAGTCATTTTTTTAGTTTTCTGTTGCTTTTCATTTGCCTTTTTGAGATTGTGATTAATAAAAATAATAAAATTTTACTTACGAATTAAAATCAGTAGAAATTAAACAAAGTTATAAACCGTTGCACCGCGAACGTCTAGTCTGGTCTAGTACACCGATAGTGCTACTTGTTCATTGATGGCGCATATAATTGAATTATGTCGTATACCGAACAAAAGTCGTATACCGAGCAAAATTTGTTTCGTCCAAACAGGACGTATTCCGAATTGGACGTATTCTAAAGCAGACGTATACCGAGGTTCCACTGTATATCAATTACACTACACCTTACTTATTTGTTTTTCAAATTTTGTAAATTTAAAAGTAGTGGTTATAGTTCTATGGTAGAACTATAAGAAAAATTAAAGAAAAGAACTCAGTTCTTTTCTTTACTTTTTATTTTAATATGTTTTTAACCTGAGGCAGACTTCGGAATGGGGTTGTAAATGTTTGTTTTGGTTAATTGTACGTGTGTAAGGTGTAGAGTGATTGATAATAGCACAATTGATATTCATTTACTGTATATTATAAAATATTTTTATTTGTAGGATGAAACTAAACCATATTATAGTGATGTTCTATCATCACTAGTGAAATTTGGAAAGTATTGTTTGAACAATACTGACTATTTTCTATGTGAAGTTCATGCCGCACACATTCTGCGTTCCTTTGTCGAAACTTTGGGAGGAATTAAAGTAGGAGAAAATATTTGTAAAAGCAGAAAATCCAGAAAATTGAAGAAAAAATTCCAAACTGACAATAAAAGTAAAGTATAATGTTATGCACTCTATTATATTTTTATGTTATTTTCATTTTTAATTTTTTTCACTCTGTGGGTACCAAGAAAGCCTTTTTACCAGGTCCATTGTAGGTTTGGCCAAGCTTTCTTGGTACAGTGGGAAATCCTCATAATGGTAGGTTGATACCTTAACTGCCTTTATCATCTAGCCAGCTCTCTGTTATGATTTAAACTATGTGAATAATATGAAGGATACACATAAAATCAAGTAGGAGAAACAAAATAAGCTTTCAGTTTTTGTTATTGACAGACAAATACACAAGAAAGTGAAATTCTGAGATAACACCATATATAAATGGAAGCTTAATAGAAATATTTAGTAGAAATATTTGTATATTATTTATATGATTTTTTGTAAAATTAGTCAATGTTTATTTTTAACTTTATTTTAGGTGTTGACATTCATAAAGAAAATACAACTGAAGTTATTCTTGCAAAAATTCCAGATGAATTTGCATTACAATTGGAAGAATTTTATAATAAGATGAGTAATAGAGAAAATTTAGTTGATTGCTGCATGGATAGCAAAATAGCAAGCATTATACAAACTTTACTTGTTGCTCTTCACAAGAGAATTCCAGAACAGTGCCAAAAATTTATCAAGATACTAATGAAACAAATGTCGAATTATCTTGTGGTAGAACAACTAGTTATTTGTTGCAGTCAATGTTGGATATGTGTAATGATGCTAATTTATTTATAAAGTTCATGAATGCCATTTCTTCGGACTTTAGACAGTTGTGTACTAATCAGTCTGGCAGCCATATTGTCGAATCATTACTTAAATTAGGAGTAAAACTTTTACAGGTAGGAAAAAAATAATTTTTATAAATAAGCGTTAGACTGAGAAAGATCCAACAAGAAACTACAAAACTACATAGAAGCAAACTATTTCATCTTGGTTGAACAGTCATCATTAGGATGAGAACATTTGCTTCTACATAGTGTTTATTTATACATACCCAGTTAGAGTAGTTGAATAAGTTTTTATATGATTTATCATATATGCCTATAATCTTTTTTGTTGTAGATATAAATAGGCAAACAAAATATTAAAATTTAGAAATTTAATTTCTAAATATAAAAGCTTTTTTTTTTTTTTTATNAAGAATTTTATAATAAGATGAGTAATAGAGAAAATTTAGTTGGTAAGTTTGTAAAATGTTTTTGTATGAATGATTTTTTTCCTCTTTCCTGTTTATACATGTATAATTTAATGTTTTCATGTTTTTGGTCTTTCCATAATAGATGATATTGTGAGTTATTTTAAAGTACTGTACAGTGCAATTGTAAAATATCTTTGCAATAGAGTAGGCCTGTGAGGCTTGGGGAAGTTGTGACATTATAACTTTAACTCTTTTGCCAAATGGTGTGCCTGTGATGTCATTACTTCGTTCCTGGAAGCTCCTCCTATTGAAGAGGGACTTTACAATAGCACTGTAGAATACTTGGACTAATTGTCTGTCAATCTTCACTTTCTGGATTAAATTTGATTTTAATTTTGAAACATAACTTAAGTAATGTTTCTGAATTTAATTTAAATCAACAAACATTTACCATTTATCAAAATCAGTTAATCATCAAGAAATATATTTTATCATTAATTTTTATTTTTTTATTATTTTTTCAAAGATTGCTGCATGGATAGCAAAATAGCAAGCATTATACAAACTTTACTTGTTGCTCTTCACAAAAGAATTCCAGAACGGTGCCAAAAATTTATCAAGATACTAATGAAACAAATGTGTATGAAAGATTCTGAAGAGTAGATATTTATTTATAAATTTTTTTAAGTTAGATCTCATTAACTTTTTGCTAAGATTCCTTGTTTTATAAGAAAATTCTTTTTAGGAATCTTCCATTGGCATTTATGCATCAAAGCAGTAGTTGCATAGTAGAAAAGCTTCTAGAATTATCGAATGAAAAGAACCAGCACTGGTTATGGAAACACATTTTTCAGAATTCGATAAAATTATTAGTTGTAGATCGGATTGCAAATTTTATTGCACAAAGATTTTTTAAAGTTGTTCAAAGCAAAGAACAGGTAAAAATTTTATTTATTTGATATTTTATAATCAAATGAAATGTTGTCATATGTAATAAATATTCTTACTAGATTTATGTTGATTTATTTTCTTTCCAGATTGGTTAGTGTTTATGATATTTCTTGTTATTTGAAGAATTTCAAATTTAAAGGATTTTCCAATCAATGTGATTTATACTTTGCAATTTTCAGTTTTTATAAATAGCTCATATAAGACTATTGTTTCTTGTATCTTATATTTTTTGATTCCATTGTGGATCAGGTCCATCAGTAATTGACTAAAATTAGGGTAGTTTATAGCGTCATCGTAATCTGGTGCTTTATACAAAAAATCTGATTTAATTGAATGTTTCTTAAAGTTTTTACTCAATAGTATCATAGCCCATAAAGGTTCATATAAACACACAGTGGAACTCCATTTTTCCGACTCAAATAAGACCAGGCATGATCCAGATGACTGAAAATCTGGATAATCCAGAAAATTCGTTAACAAAATAAATAACACAGAAATTGAAATTGAAATAAAATGTATATAAACTAACTTCTACTCTATTGTAACAACCACTTCCTTTTAGACTTTATTTTCATGGTATTTACTTCACGATAGATTGGAGTTGACTGAAACGTGAAACAATAGTAGTTGTGGGTGTTGAGTGAATAAAAACTTGTGAGGTTACAAACGAAACTAACACATTGACTGCTGTGAGAAGCACAACATTAACTTAATATCTTGTTGAATCTTTTGTAAAATCAAAGAATACTCCTACAGAATGCATAACAATGAACATCATATACCAATTCATAGAAAACAAGTTATTCTTGGAAGCTGCAACATTACACTCGGGCAAGAATGTACTTAGGAGTTTTGATTTTGTCATGTTTATAGGTTTTCTGTGACCGTAGGGTCGGCACCTCTTCGGCGCCCTGTCAGGATGACACCAAGGGACTCGGAAAACGCGACTTTATGTCACGAGATTCGCGAGCGGTAGCGTGTGAGCGCTTGGATTCGGAGTAGAGGTGAGGAGAGGAGGAAGTGACTCACTCGGACTCCATATGTTCTAACAAAAATTCAATTTTAATAATAAACAAAGAAAATACAGAGATATCGGGCATATTAGCGGACTTAATTATACTATTCCGTTCGAGAGAGAGAGTTTACAACCGAATCGCGGGTTGATAAATACCTTTCTTTTTCCTAGGTCGCAGATCTATCGTATGATGACACTCTTGACTCCTCTGAAATGGTCTTTCCACTAGTTCTTGTCCGTTAATTGGATCTCGGAGGTGTGGAAGCACGGAAGTGGGGTGAGATTCTTAAGGAGACACGGTGTTACTTCTGTCAAGGTGTTATTTCGGGATTTTGGTGCACGGGTTTTATCCTGGGTCACGGTTTTAATCCTGGGTCACGGTTTGAATCCTGGATCACGGTTTTAATCCTCGGATGACGACTTCTGTAGAGGGACTTCGGATGACAACTGACCTCGGGGTCGTTTTTCTTTTTCCCTTTTTCATTCCTCTTGGGTTTTTTCCATGAGGTCAGGTGATGGCCTTTAACGGTCGCCCGTCCAATATGTCTTCTCTATCAAAAGTTCCTGGTGACACATCCCTGACTAACTTGATCCGACTCAACAAGGAACAAACTCCGTGGGAAATAATTTTTATGGCTTTTAGCCTAACTCGATAAAACGTTCGAATTTAACCGATTAAAGTTTCTAATAATTAAAATTTAAAATAACACTTTATTGTGGGTCTGTTCATCCCTCACATTTCCATATATGTCAATCCTTGTCTCAGAAGTATGAAAGATAATGTTTTATAATTCATATAAACCAGAAAGCTATATTAAAGGGATCTGGATAAACAGGGTTCCACTACATAGCATACATTCCCAATTCATTTAATGTATGTGTTGGGACTGAGAGACAAATGGGAGCACATTTGTCTCCAAAAGCTTTAAAAATATACAAATAAATCATAATAATCAATTTTTCACTAATTTATCTTTTTTATATATAAAAGATTAAATTTTGAAAGTTAGATGGTCTCATTAAAGTTTTGATAGAGGAGGTCAAATATAACCTTGGGTTTGCTTAATTATTTAATATATGGTGTTCTTGATTATCAATGCTTGTGTATTATCCACTTTGTAGATTATTCAGACAGTGTTGAAATTTGGTAATAATAAATACATTTGTCAAGCATAATTATGTCTACTGTTTGTGGACCATGTAGATATTTGCATATTACTACTATTTGTAAATCATAAATTACTTATGGAGTATTTTTTTGTTAGTTTCTAAGCACATACTAATGTGCTTAGAAAATAACAAGTAGACATAATTATGCTTGACAAATGTATTTATTATTACCAAATTTCAACACTGCCTGAATAATATACTATAGTTTAGAATAATATAATATAGAATATATAGTATATAGTAGTATAGAATAATATACTATACTATACTATACTATAGTTTATTGAGTTGTGATAATCCATTTTCTCATTATTAGCACAGATAATTGAGAGTACACTTTATTTTGAATGCTTATTTTTATTGAAATGGTTTTTGAACAATTTTATTTTTTTGAGCACTTTTGGATAATATAAATTCATAAAAGTGATTAAATTCAGAATGAAGATCTTATTTTAGTATGTCTAATAGATTTTTAACTTTTTATACAGTGGGTGATCAGTTAACAAACAAATCGGATAATGAACAGTTTCGCGAAAGATTTTTATGTTTGGACAACGAACACCTCACAGAACAAACACAAGAAGAAGCAACCTAAAATAATGAATACCGATTGGTCTCCCCTTGTCTTCAGGCAACAATTCAGGACTTATTGGAGCGCGAAAGACGTCGACATTGACCCATCCCAGTATATACTGATCAGATAGTATTCCTCCGAACTTTGAAACTGTCCCTTGTAATTCCAGCCTTTTATTTTTCTGACAGAAACAATTCTTTTATAGTATTCATGAGAGTGGGTTTTTATTTTCAAAAGGTGAGAGTATAATAGCAAAGGTAGAGAGTGGGCAGAAGATATCTGATGTTGCTGGGCAGTATGGCTTGAATAGGTCTACAGTAGGCTACAGTTCAATCTTATCTAAGAAAGATACTGTATAATCAAGAAGACTCAAGCAGCTTAAGGGGTAACAAAAATCACATCTGAGAAATAAAGAACATTGAAGAGTTCATAATGGAACCTGAAACTGATCTGACGACAGAAGAACACAAAGAAACTCGGTGAGATATGTTTTCTTCTGAAAAAGAGGATTAATGCTGATATCTGCTATTAAACATCTTTTTAAGAAGTGGGAGGATGTCAGAACTACGGTCTTAGAATGGCATCCAAACCAGGTTGAGGTTAACAGGCTTAAGGATCGCTACAATTACCATGCTATTAATTACTTCTAAAAATTCTGAAGAGAGAAAAGCAATTGACATTAGACAGATTCTTTAACAACCACAAATGGGAAAAATATGACTAATAAAAATGCAAGACTGTGTGTATATGTATTTTTATTATTACATATAAATAATATATACTTTCTTACTACGTTTATTTATTTATTTTTTGGGGTCTCCAGAACAAATTAATCAAATTCCCATAAAAATCTATGGTAAATTGATAATCGGTTAACAAATAATTCGGATAGCAAACAACGTCTTGGAATGGATTATGTTCGTTAACCGATCACCCGCTGTATTTTTATTCATAGAGCAATTTATAATCTAGATAGCAGATAATCATTTATTGTTTTTAAAAATTATACAATTGATATTTGCTAAATATTTTTTATTTGGTAATCACAAAAAAGGGGTTTATAGATGAATAAACAAAGTTGTTATGTCCTCCTAATTGAACATTCATCAGATGTCAAGAACAACTCAGAAAAGAGTTTTAATTCAGATATTTTAATAAAAGATCTCTGAATTATTCGTCTATAAACTGCATTTTATTGGTTACAAAAATAAGTGATTATATCTGGCAAATATTTAGTAAATGTTTTTTAATATATTTACTAATTTGGAACACATATAAACTCTTAAATAGCTTCAAGTAATGCTGGATGATGTGTTCCCATTATTTAAAATTATCCTAAGAAAAGGTTTTCCTGGTATAATTGTCAGTATTGCCGAAGCATGTGTAAGACTTGGTACCTATCAACCCCAATTTATGCAGGTAAGTTGTAATAGTTCTTCAGAAACAAAATTATTATAGATTTCATATAATTACATCAAACAGACTTAAGATTTATAGTTTTATAATGCTTTTTCCAGTGCTTCAATATGTAATTAATGGATTATAAATTAAACATATAATTTTTTATCAATACAGGTTATAATGAAAACATTTAAGTGTGATGAACCAGAAGAACGACAGATTTATTTGGCACCCATGCTTATGATGGTGGTAAATTACAAGATTTTCAGCAGAAATAATGATGAAGGAAAGAATTTGCTTTTTCAGGAAATATCTTATCATGGTTCCTTAATTATTCAACACATTTTACATTTTTATAAACCATACAAAGTAAGCTTCTATTTCAATTAGTCAAGATGAATATTGTGATTTTGTTAATTCTTGGTTATTACTTGTCAGATCGTAAACAGTATGTTGGCAATGAAAGACAACTTGAAAGAAGTTGCTTGCGATCCGAAAGGAAGTCGTATTTTCGATGCATTTCTTTCTAGTCAATATGTGGGAGAAAAGAACAGAGAGAAACTGCTTCAGATATTTCAGGTATTCTTAAAAATATGTTTGTTTTGATTATCAAATCTTTAGATATCTGTACATTCTTGATTTGTAAAGTAACAGATCTCAATTAATTAGCAAGATTTCAATAAAACCTTTTTCAATTTGAGTTTCTCTCTTAGTTTTATGACAAAAATATAGGGTGCGCACAAATTATTGGATGATTTCATAATGAAATCATCCAATAATGAATAATGAACAGAAATACATTTTTAACCACTTGAAAGAGAGATATTTGCAATTTTGTATTGACCTTAAATGCATTGTGCGCACGCCCCATATGTAGCACAGATGCCCAGACAGTACTCTCAGGGTGCAACTATGCAGATGCGAGCAAGCGAGAAGAGGTGTTAACATTTCATGCTCTCATTTATTACAACCACATAGATAACAGTGAGAAACAGAGCATGAAACATCATCACCTCTTAACACTCGCTCGGAAAATTTGCTTGCTTGCATCTGTATAGTTGCACCTTCATTCTTGCCAAACCTCAAGCATGTCTTGTGTGACATTCCCAATGGTGGTTTGAATGGGCTGTTTCAATCCTGGCAATATTGTTGGAAGTGGAGGGACATTGTCTAAACATTAATTTTATGCTCGGAACACTATTATCAATAAATACAGATGTGTTCTTGGAACAATTTTTACACTTTCTGCTCACTACTATTAAATTTTTTAACAGTAGTGAGCAGAAAGTGTAAACATAATTTAATAGTTTTTTAACTTAAATATAAATAAATTTATTCAAATGCCAGTTTGGATTCTTATGTGTAACTGCCAAGATATTTATAATTTATAAACATAATAGAGGGGCTTTTAAAACTTTGATAACATCAAATTATTTATAATTTTTCATAGCCACATTTGGCAGAACTGGCCTGTAACAAGCACGGCAGCAGGACAGTAGATGCTCTCTGGGAAGTTGCTTCATTGAAACAGAGGACGACCATTGCCCAGAAGTTGACAGAAATTGAAGAGACGCTCAATGGGTCGTCCTATGGTTTTCATTTGAGTAAGAAATGTGCCTTGTTTCATTTTAAGAATAGAAATGCCGAATGGAAACAAATTCAAGAAGAAGAAATTAAAAAACGTAAATTATTTAAAGACTTTTTAAACTGAAATTTATGCAGAAATGATTAAATATTGTAAGTAGCTGTACAATATATTCAAAATAATGTATAATATAAAGGCTTATTATATTTTATGAATAAAATTAAATTTTTTAAAAAACAATAATTATTGTATTATTCCTGCAAAATTACCACTATAATAAATTGAAGATTGGAATCAAACAGTTTAAGATGGGTGGAATAGAGAAAACTAGAATTTTGCTCAAATAGGGGTCTATTTTAACGAACATGAACTTTTCATGAAATAAAGCTGGCATTTTGTTGTAGAATGCAGCATATATACACTGTATCTCAAATGACCTCTTTGTTTACAGGTAGTTGCAGAGGGTTTCAATTACAGTATTTTTGAATGAGTTTTTAGCCTTATTAGTGAAAAATAGCATGTGCTTCCAGTTGCTACTGTAATGTACAATGTACTGTATTGTACAATGATTCAATGTTCAAGATAAAGAATGTTCAAATATTCTTTGTTCCTTGACCTCTTTATGGGAGTTGGCTATATGACATTGGGAGTTTGAAGAAAGTTTTGATTGCTAAATCCAAGAGAGAGATTTTTGGATGATGACATTTTGAAATTTGTGTTTCTAATGGTGTGTGAGACCTATAATGTTTTAAATGATGTTGGAATCTCCTGGAAATTGCACAAAGAAATGAGGACTAGTTACAGTAGAACAAAGGTGGTCATCAAGAAAGTAAAGAATTCCATCAACATAACAAATCCTCTGACCTGAATGACATATCATCTTTGCCAATGTTGAGTGTCATGTCACTGTCTCCCAAAATTGCATCATTTACAAAGATTTGAACAAGGACATGTCAGTAAAGACTGATGTTTATAAACTATTAGATTACAACAAAAAATTGTAAGACCAACACAAGAAAGTTATACAAAAGGCATTTGGCAGGTGGAAGAAGTGAATTTGCTGTGACTTTAGTGTTGGGCTATCTCAATTTTAATCGTATCCACAAAATTTGCCACATGATACGTGGAAAGACTCCATAAGACCGAGTACAACAATGCAGAGAATACTAACCTCAAGGATTCATACTTCTGGACAGTTTGTTGGGAAGAGGCCCACTTCTGCTTATTAGAGTGCCCTCAAAAGTGAAAATATCTGGATGGTACTGTGTGGACCATTGTTTGAAGAGCATCTGCCACATACATATCCCAATGAAATGAAAAAATATATTTCTGCTTCATGACACATTCTCTGTTGATTGATTATACAATATCTCAAAAACCTTTGTCAGAAAATGGTAATTAGCTATGTTGACAAGACGGACATATCCTTGATGGGTTACAATGCCAGTTCCCTTGACTAATATGGATTTGGTTGGCTGAAACAGAAGCTGGAAGATGAAGACAATAAAGGCTTCAGCCTCCATTCTTGGACATCCAGTTCATCCAACTAAGTACATTTGTCCCGTTTTGATCAATCTAGCCCCAATGTGTTTTAGCCACATTGAGCAAGATAATGACCCACAAACCCACAACGAGCAAGGTAAACACTTACTGTCCACAGTGTAACAGAAGAAATAAGAATTTACCAGAGTAAAGCTTTGTTTTAATTCTAACAATACATGTAGAGATTAGTTTTTTATCATAAGATGCTAAAAGCTAAAGTAAACAGAGCTCTATTGGTTGTGTTTGGAATTATGTAATAAGTTTTATTTTATTAGCAACTAAATTCCAATTTAGTTGCTGAAGTGAAATCTAATATAAGTTTTCAGTTTTGGAAACTTGATTGATAAAAATCATCCATAGTTAAGAAGTGGGTAATTTTTATGCTCAAACATAGCTACTACTGATGTGCAAATCTGTTACATCTGAGTTACAGGTATACATCACTTACACACTATTAGTTACTACCTGGTAGAAATATGCAAATTTGTTGTTTAGAGAAATGAATAAATCATAATTGTGCATATTGTATTTGTAACTTTATTACTGGATACTCAAAGTATTGTATTTGGAATTTCTACTTCATAGGATTTTATTGGATTTGCACTAGCAAAGGTTTTGTTCTTATTATTTTGTTTAAATAGATGATATTCTTGTTCAACTCGACAGGGTTTTTTAATTTTTTTTTTAATATAACATGGTTTGTATTATAGACAGTTATGAAATTTGTGAGTCTGATTATAATTCTATGTCATCATTGCTGAAATTGTAAGGAACCAAGTCCGAACGTTATTTTTATTTACTTTTATTTTGCTTATTATTCTATTTTTGTTTGGGGCTTATGTTTTGTTAGGACGAAGGTTTCCTCACCATTCACCTTAGTAACTTAAAAATAGAAGAAAAACCAACTCACCGACGAAAGAAAAGAGCCGTAGAAAAAACTCGCGCACCCTTGCGCTTCCCGAGCGGAAAAAAGTAAGTCCGCACCGAGAAAAGGGGGGAGACCCCACAAGCACGAATTAGGGACTCGCTAAACCGTAAAGAATAAATAAAACGTCCCGAAAATTGTGAAAAAGAATAATGTAAAAGGTTAGAGAGTATTGTCGGAAATAGGCTGCCAGACAAACGAAAAAAGTTTATTGTTAGCGTTAAGTATGTAAATGAGGAGAGTGATCTCATTCAGAATTGTGACGTCACCTCACACTATAAGTCCCGAGTCTCAAGTGAAGATGAACGAGGTGAACTGATAGCAACGAGCTTTGGTGAGCTTCGTAGCAGTGAACGAGAGAGGTGTCCGATAGGATCAAATAGTTCCAAGGCGATTTTGAAGTTATTCGATTTATGGATCGACGATTATAGAAAGTCTTGAAAGTTTGAGGAAATAGGTTCCTAGTATATTGATGTGACGATTAGGATCTTTAATTTATAAGAAATATTGTTTATAAGTTAAGTCTTTGATTTTTGTCGAATTCCAAAGAGGAATAGAATTAAATTAGAAAATAGATTGATTTGAGTTTTGTCGGGTTGATTCTTATTGATTTTCATTGAATAAATTGTTACTTGATTTTACTAAATACTGTATGTAGTTTATTACTAGAAGTTTAATTAAATACTGTATTTGATTTTGTTATTGACAAACTTTGTCATTATTTAATTCGGTGCACGCCTAAAGTCCAGGCCTGGCACACTAACGCGAATCCGCGTAAAGTACCCGTTAGGGAACGGCTATTTCCGGCACACAGTAGTGTCGATAATCGTTGGAAAAGTCGGAAAAATAAAATAGTACTTTACAAAATAATACAATTTATGTAAATATTACTCATCAGTGGGTGAGTGGATAAAACCACTGGATGCTGATAGTAAGTTGTGGTTTTGTGCCTTGTCAACAGGCTGGCTACATAGTTTTCTTCATGTTTGTAACACCTAAATAAGGGCCAATTCCCCATAGATAGACCAACCTTTGAGGAATCCCTCCTCAGCAATCTGCCACAAGTTGCATTGCTGTATACAGAGTAAATATTTCCATTAATGGCCAAACAACTTAATTCAAAGTTACACGTACAGCATAACTTTGGTTTGAAAACATTCTGAATAATAATGCAATAGAAAACAGTATATATGCACACTGTCAGGACCAAGAAGTTTGTCTGCTAGTCAGAGCTATGAGCCGGCAGCCATACTATATTTTAACCTGGGGCCGTATTCTGGTCCCTGTCTCTGGTCTCTCACAAGCCGGTCGCTGATTGGCTAATCATTTGGATTAGCCAATCAGTGACTGGCTTACGACAGTGACAACAGATTACAAAAACATGAAATTTGCATCAGGAATGTGAAAATACCAAAAAGTATACATAGCATAAATTATATATATTAATTATATATCTTTTCAGCTGTAAAAATCACAATTTAATTGAATTCCAAATAGCAAACAGATTGTATAGGATACTTTAGCAAATGAAGGAAAACCAATTACAGGTAACCCCATATAACATGGCACTTCTATAGCACGGATTCACTCTAACACGGTTTGAGAATTGGGAACATCCCCATATAACACGGTGCTTTTATAGCACGGGTTCACTCTAACACGGTTCGGGAATTGGGTAAAACCCTCATACATGAAATGTAATAAAGGGTGCGTTCTTTTATACTTCTGTGTAACTCCGTGCGAGCATTCTAATTGTTTTTGTGGCTACTTTGAATGCTCTTTCAACAAATAATATATTTAATGGTTAAATTTTACAATTGGGACTCCTTTTGCCTCTAAAAGCTCATTTTAGAATTATAGATTCCTCCATCATGATACTATTGATAGTGTGGGCGCACCATCTTTCTTTCATCGTCGTTTCTAAATGCCTACAAACAGCAGTGCACTCCTGTTGCAGAGTGACTGTGACTGCTATTAATGAACACACCCAAAAACTTACCAGTTGATGATGCTCATGCTGAGATCATCATATAGGATGAATAATCCTCCGGCAAAATATTTACTTAAATAATAAATAAGTATTTTACCTATGAAAAAAATGAATAATAAATCCGATTTAAATAAAAATTTAACAGCATGTTTTTTAATTTTTGGAACCTAACTCCCTTCTTGCACTAGTTCGTTGTTTTGTACTAGCAGACCCTGCCACGTGTTGTTGTGGCTCAAAATGTATCTATTATAAATTTATAACACTTCCCCGTGGGGGGGAATTTTTCAAAAAATCTCTTTTTAGTGTATATTTTCTTGACGCACCCTATTAAAACGCAATCAAAAATGCAAAAAACTGCTTCTAAAATAGCATAAATAGAAGCAAGGTTCTTTACGGTAAGCCTTAATCCTGTCCCAGTGGGGGAATTTCGACACGTATATTATATAAAAACACGTGCGTATTCAAATGCAGCGTTGTGTCAAAATTTCAAAGGAATCTGTAGGAACAAACGAACATTACATTTTTATTTATATAGATAGATAGATGATGATCTGCTTTAGTTCATCCTCACAGAAAAGCAAACTTAGTGTCGTACTCGTAGCGCCATCTGTTGGACATAAAAGCCTTAACTTAGATTATCTTTTAATTTATATGAATGTTTAACGGAATAATATACAGCCTATGTTCACCCTGAAGTTCCATTCTAAATATTAGTGAAAGAATTTTTGAAATCGGATGAGTAGTTTCGGAGATTATCCCCTACATACAAACTTTCAAACATTATCTCTATAATATTAGTATAGATAACACGGATTCGCATAACACTGCAATTTTTTGGAACGTAACTGCCGTGTTATACGGGGGTTACCTGTAATTGCATAAAATATTTTGATCAATTATTACCGTGTTTCCCCGAAAATAAGACATCCGCAGAAAATAAGACCTAGCACAGGTTTTGCTGAATTGCGAAATATAAGACCTCCCCCTGAAAGTAAAACCTAGCGAAGTTTTCTTTTAGTCGTACGGTCATCGACAGATGGTTGAAAGTGGCCGTTGGCTTTTTGAAAGTACAGCCACTGATCGGTCATCAGACAATTACGCCACACGGCATGATTTGCATAAGACTATGGTATGGGAATCACAGATTTGCATAACGTTACGGCTGGTGATGGCTAATTGGTCGGTCGGGAATCACGCTACATGACATTTGCATAGTCCTACGGTTCAGTAAGCACTAATTGGTCATCGAGTCCGATGTTGACGCTATAAAAAGGCGACAGTTCGAAACACCGGATATACGTCACTCTCGTATAAGTTAGACTTGGGAATTTTTTTGTTCAATAATAAATGTGAATTCTTCTTCCTGGAAAAAATAAGACATTCCCTAAAAATAAGACCCAGCGCATTTTTCAGAGCAAAAATTAATATAAGACACTGTCTTATTTTCGGGGAAACACGGTATANAAAAAAAAAAAAAAAAAAAAAAAAAAAAAAAAAAAAAAAAAAAAAAAAAAAAAAAAAAAAAAAAAAAAAAAAAAAAAAAAAAAAAAAAAAAAAAAAAAAAAAAAAAAAAAAAAAAAAAAAAAAAAAAAAAAAAAAAAAAAAAAAAAAAAAAAAAAAAAAAAAAAAAAAAAAAAAAAAAAAAAAAAAAAAAAAAAAAAAAAAAAAAAAAAAAAAAAAAAAAAAAAAAAAAAAAAAAAAAAAAAAAAAAAAAAAAAAAAAAAAAAAAAAAAAAAAAAAAAAAAAAAAAAAAAAAAAAAAAAAAAAAAAAAAAAAAAAAAAAAAAAAAAAAAAAAAAAAAAAAAAAAAAAAAAAAAAAAAAAAAAAAAAAAAAAAAAAAAAAAAAAAAAAAAAAAAAAAAAAAAAAAAAAAAAAAAAAAAAAAAAAAAAAAAAAAAAAAAAAAAAAAAAAAAAAAAAAAAAAAAAAAAAAAAAAAAAAAAAAAAAAAAAAAAAAAAAAAAAAAAAAAAAAAAAAAAAAAAAAAAAAAAAAAAAAAAAAAAAAAAAAAAAAAAAAAAAAAAAAAAAAAAAAAAAAAAAAAAAAAAAAAAAAAAGAAACTCTTGAAGGGTGGATGAAGGCCAGTTTTGGAAATGAGTGTTTGAATTTCCAGTTAGGAAGGCAATTTGCTAGCCACTTCAAGGGGTAAGAAAGGTATTTGGCATTATTGCATTCATAATGTCATTTATGAACTAAACGACCAATAAAAATCGATATAGTGATTCGTCTACTTTGAAGTTATGGAGTAAGTATAATTTTTCAAACATCTGCTTTTTTTCAATAAATTTATTAAAAATTACTTTAGTCATCAAAAGCTGTTAAGATCATAAATGTTGTCATAAATGTGAGAAAACCAAATATCTTTCTATAATTCAAAGTAATCAGCAAATTGCTAACATGATCTTTGAACTTTCACCAAATAAATGCTGTTTTCTTAACGTTAAAACTTTCTTTTTCGTAACTACTGTATACGGTTCTTGTCAAATGAATGCACAACTTTGGAAAAGTTTGATTTCTTGGTATCCTAAGCTTAATCCCAACAATAAGACAGAAGTACAGTAATACCTCGACTTACGCGATTTTCAAATCTCGTAGATTCGTCTTTTGTTTGAGTGCCATGCAACCCTTCATTACTCATTCCCCCCACACTATTGTTCAGCTTACATGTTCGAATGTTTCACGCGGAATCCACACATAGCTACAATTTATTGTGTTATTTATTTCTGTGTTTGCTATATCTACGGAGACTTGAGAGACTCTACTATGTCATCCAAATGAAGTAGAACTAATTCTTCTGCATCAAACAAGAAAAGAAAAACTATCTTTGGAATGTAAAGTTAACATTGGGTAAAGCGAGAATGAAGTCATCGTTATTCCTATTTCGTTAGACTTTTCGAACGATTCGTTACTAACGTGTTTAACTCGTTTGACTTTACGAACGTACCCATTATTAAAGACTTCGATACAAAAATGAAAATTTGTGAATTGGCAAAGAAGTTTGATCTACCGGAATTGACGGTCAGAACAATTATAAAAGGCAAAGAAAAAAATTCTCGAAGCTGTGAAAAATGCTTAATCTTTAAATTCAAGCATCATTCGTAAACGTCACTGTATTATCGCTGAGATGGAAAATGTTAAAATTATGGCGTGATAATCAAGTAAATGTGAAAAATTGTAAAATAATATAGGCCTAATTTGTTATACATATGTATTATCTAAATTTTATTAAACATTCTTTTTCTAAATTATTTTCTTCTTTAGTCTCCAGCTCCAATTAAAAATTATTTGTATGTATTTATATGCGAAATTATACCCCGACTTACGTGGTTACCGCTCAGTCCCACCTATCGCGTAAGTTCGGGGTATTACTGTATAACAACATTAATATGTATGATGATAAATAATGATTGACAACTTAACCAGACTAGTCTTCTCTAACAGATAATATTGTTCAATTTTTTACAACCTGCCCCTCCTCCTCTATTCTTATTTTAAGCCAGTCTTTGATGCCTACAGTCAAAATTTGTCCTCTGAAAGAGTATTTGAACCATTCTTTTAGTTTTAAAATATTTCATACGTAATTAATTCTTTCAGAATATTGAAGGTGGGACTTTGTTTTCATAAGGTAGGTTATGGACGATGGCATCTGTTATTTAAGAGGTAAATATAATAAATTCCATATTTGAAGGGTTTGGGAATTGTAAAAATGTCTGTTAAGTAGTGCTGTCTGCTATTCGGGAGTGCGTATTAATGGAGGTTTCACTGTATTTTTAAATTATGTATTTCAAACATCTAAGAATCTGCTATTTATACACTAGAATGAAAGTATTCACACATTTTCTGTACTTAATAAACTTTTCTTAACGAATTTTTTTAAGATATTAATTTTAAATATGAAAGTTGCACTTGATTCACTAGTTAATGCTAGTGAATCAAGTGTAACTTTCAGTTTCACGCAAATATAAAATTGAAATTATTTTTAAATAAAACACCAATTGACATTTTATTCACAACCTTCTCTGTGAATAGTAGTCTAATTTTTATTCATTATGTGATAAAAGCCTATTTAATATTTTCTAAATGCCTTCATTTACTCAATTTTGACAGCTCCAAGGAAAATAAATTGCAGGTGAGGTTGCAAGTAAAGGTTTGTTGAGTTTACAGATTGTGTTTCCATTATTTTGAAACTTTTCAGACAACTTCAGTTAAAAATTGTGTGTATATTATTGTGGCATTGTCACAATATTGGGCTTCAACTTTTTATTCATCTTTTAATTAAATCTTCAATCATCTTTTAATTAAAAAAAAAAAGAATCACACAACTCATGATCCTGACAGAATGGACAGAAATTCATATACTGTATAGTTAATTAGAGTCTCCAGCCCGATTTTCACATATCTAACTCCAGTCTTGAGATTAATGGCAGACAGATGGATGGACAACAATGGGAATGTAAAAGTCTGCAATCTGAAAATTGCAGCACAATGACTGTCATATTCCACCAAATAGAGCATTTGTCTAACATAAATCTGACCATACAAATTGAATAGGATGTCAATTTGTCTCAATTTTTGTAAAATTCTATTTCAAAAAGTTGATACAAAGTAACTATGTAGTAAATGCTTTATTTCAAATGATATGTTAAGTAATACATTCTATGAAAAGTGTGATGTAAATGAAGGATGGCAGCTATGGGATAATCATTGTATTAAGCCTAGAAAATGATAATTTAATTCCCTGACCAGCATTACATATGTATGTATATATGTACTCTTTCTAAATATACTTTAAGGCCAATAGCATAAAAAAATATAAAACATTGAAAATGAGTTACAAGTCTTATAATTATAAAAAAATAGCAACTTTTTGGAAGGCAAACTTTATTTATACTATCTATATAAGCAATAAAAAGTTTAGGAAATTATATATCAATAAATAAAGATTTACCAAGCTGAAAATAAGAATTTGAAAATATTTTATCATTTAAAATAAAAATATTGTGGAAAGAGTTTATTCTCATATTTTGAATAAAGAAAAATAACATAGTAAATGAATATTAACAAACTTTCGTAGTAAAACAAACAATATAGGAACTATTATGGCAACACTGTCAAAGTGTTATTTGACTTTCTGCAAACTAGCAGCAATTATTTTACATTAAACAAATATCAAAATATACATTATAGTTTCATTTAAGCATTCTTTGAGTGTATATTCTAAATGTTGTATGTCTGTAAATTCCAAACATTCAAGTTGAGTACTGAGAATGTTTTCACACAGCTGTCACTTCTGGAAGTGTCGGAACTACTGGAAGGTTTTGAATATTTTCTGAAAAGAAACATTAAAAACTATTATACAGCTTTAAATATATTTATTTAGCTTCTAAATTACAAATTATTACATTTTATTTTTCAATTTCATTTCATTTTTTGTTATAGCGTTTATTGTGCTTGAAACTTACTACTATTGACAACTATTATCTTGCTTCATTCCTAAAATTTTAACTATAGTTGCATAACTGTTTATATTACTCCAAACTATGGAAGGACAACTCATGTTTTAATGTTACACTGTAATATAAGAAATAAATTTTTAGTTTCCTGATACTACAGAGTAAAACAATTTTAAGTTTCTGGACAGGGTCTTTGGAATTTAACCAAAAAACCAATAATATTTTGTTGTGATATTTTGGGATTTGTTTCTTTGTACTTTTGCTAGCATGAAAAATTAACAGAATCTTTAAAAAGAAAAATCTAATAATAGCATGGTGTTTACATCAAGGGAGCTTAAATCTGATTCATTTTTTAATATTTTGTTGTCAGAACTAGTTATTTCCAACCTGGGATCATCCTTTATTAAATTTCACTGACCAATTACTTTTGTGAGAGATAAAGAGTTCTGGAATACCCTGTCTCATGTGGGTGATGACTTATTAATCTGAATGATTGGTAGGATCTTTCAGAGTTGGGAATCCAACCCCACAGCCTGTGGAATTGACTAAGACAGGCAAAATTATAAAATGTTAGAGTTCATAGGAGGACCTAGTTTTAATGTGGATGTGACAATGGAGTTAAACATAAATAAAATTGAACGAGTTTACAAAACAAAATATTAAACAATATATGCCACTTATTGGATGAGAGAACAGTTTTATCTAATATGTGGTTACATATTAAATAAAAGCAAATGAAATAATTAATAAATCAAAAAGATTAATAAAATTTTTTGAAAAAAATAAACTTTCCTTAGTTAAAGCAGACAATTTGCATCAATTAGTTATATTAAGAAAAGAAGAATTATTGTCAAAGAAGAAAGAAACAGTGTCATCTGATGAATACGAACGTTTATCAACAGACCCTTTAAAAGAAATACAAAATAGTCTTACTAAATTAATGAAGAAATACAAGAATGAATTTTCGAGTCAACAGGTAAATAATATACTAGACTTTAATAACATAAGAGAACCAAAATTAAGACTCAAACTGGAAAACACAGACCTTTAGTAGACTAAGAAATCTATGCCATATAATCTTGATTGTTGTTTAAAAACCTACTTATAGATAAATCAGTTTATGGCATATAGAATACGGATGAATTGACCAATGGACTATTAAAAGATAAAATTAAATAAAATTATCATATTATGAGCCTTGATGTTAAATCGATGTATCCATCTATTACTTTAGAAATGATTAAAGAAACTATTAATAAATATAAAATGCCTGAGCACACATTAAATCTTATAGAATTTGTATTTAAAAATAATTTTTAAAATCTATACAGACTATTATCAACAAAAGAAAGGAATTGCTATGGGATCTGTTGTTGGACCAAAATTCATTGATATTTGTATGATATTGATAGATGAAAAGATATCCCAAGTTCAAGGTATTAAATATTATGCACAATACATAGACGATATACTGTACTGATTATATATGATTCACAAATAATTTTGCCCCAAGACATTGAAGAACATGCAAATAAGTTAAATAAGAATTTAAAGTTTACAAGTGGAGAAAAACAGAATTGAGAAATGAATTTTTTAGATGTTACTATAAAAAGAGAAGATATCCAAATTTTGTTTCATAAGTATGAAAAATTATGCAACACAAAGAAAACCATTAATTATAAATCATATTGTCCAATAGAAACCAAGAAAAATGTATTTATAAAAGAATTAAAGAAAATATTAAATAGAACAATGCTACAAGAAGATATAGAAATAGAAACAAGACAACTCTTACAGTATTTGTCCAAGACCGAAACTTTACATAGGAGAAACAGGAAAGAAGTTGGAGACAAGGTTAAAAGAATATGAAGCTGCTATTAGGTTAAAAAGACAAGAATCACTGTGGTGTCTACATTGTAATAAATTTAATTGTAAAATATATAGAAATAATGTTAAAATACTATATAAAGTTAAAAATTGTTTTAAAAGAAGAATAATCACACAGAATAAAAGGAACAGAAATTGTTAAAGTTCTTTATGTGCACTGATGGCGCTTTATTGTACGCAAAATGCATTTGGTTTAATAAACATGAAGTTATTGGCAATTAAAGTTTAGTATTTCTACATTATTTATTTGTCTGCTAAAATAAATCACTCTAAGTTGGATAAGAGAGAGTAGTTTTACTTGGTTTTAATCTAGAAATTATTTTATTAATTTTTAAATTTACAAAAAAAATTTTTTTATGAGATAACAGTTGATTTTCTGACAACATTTATCTGCAAAAACATCTGTACAGAATGGGCATCTATAAAGGAAGAGGACTTTGTTGGAAAATGTATGATGATGAAATTGTCCACAAAATACTCAATCTTGGGATTGAGAATTTGAGCGTGAGACNAATTTTTTTATGAGATAACAGTTGATTTTCTGACAACATTTATCTGCAAAAACATCTGTACAGAATGGGCATCTATAAAGGAAGAGGACTTTGTTGGAAAATGTATGATGATGAAATTGTCCACAAAATACTCAATCTTGGGATTGAGAATTTGAGCGTGAGACTTTACACCAAGAATCTGTTAAGAGTATCTTAAACTTTGTCAAGGAAAGTGGCTTTTTAAACAGAGAATAAGGATATATTGGAAGTGCAGTATACCAGCAGATATCAGCATTGGAGAGTACAAAAAACTTCAATCCCAAACAGAAAATGTGTTAGTGGCAGAAATACTTTTTTTACATTAATTAAATGTACAGTACTTCCTACATTGAGTATGGGACAAGTTTAGTCTGTCTAGCACTACAGAATAACACGTAATAGACTGGAAAGTATTAAAAGTGGTATTTAATTTTTAGTCCTTATTGGTTACATTCTCAAAATTTATGCCAAAATAGTTCAAGTTTTGAATAGAAAAGTATATATTTTAAGTTGAATTATCAAAAAGCATTCTAAATTAAATTGTAGAATATATTAATAAAAGTTTATTACAGTTTGCATTACTGTATATTCATTTATATAACTCTGCAATCATATTCTGATTTTAAACTGCAATTATGAATTTGTACCTTTGGAGCAATGATTACTCTCCAAGGTTGGAGTGGATGGTCAATATAGCCTGCACTAACTAGTAGCACCACTGTCAATAAGTCTAATTGTTTTACTGTCTTGTAAACAAAAACACTTCGTGATTTTAAAGTCAGTCAAATTACAATGCTATTATTTTATTGTACTCAATTAAATGTTACAGAAAACATTCCTCTAACAACTAGTTTTGTTAGATCTGATTAATTTTATATTTTAAACAAACATATTCTGTTTATCATATAGTTCCAGTTTAATTGTGCCAGTTTTTTGTGTGTGTTTTATATTTTAGCCACAGTTTAACCAGCATGCCAGTAACCTCGAATTCCAGCAAGTTGGTTTCCCCTTTTATGCAGTTATTCTGCAAAAATACGATAAATTCAACAGCAGCAGCTTTTTCTAAAGTTAGTCTCAACTCAAAATATCATTACTCAAGACTATCAAAATAAAATCATGCAAATTGAATAATATAAAAGATATACCAAACAGTCTTTTAAGTTCATTTTAAAAGTTTACATTTCATTAATATGTTTAATTTATTGAAAATAGAATGAATCAATTTTTCTAAGCACCATGTGCATACAATGATGTAAGAAACTGAATGAAAGATGACTATTTTCTACACAATTATCAATTGTGTTTTAGATATTACAAATTTGCATTTAGATGTTTCCTAAATATAACAACTTTATGAACTGATATAAAACATACAGTAAAACCTCACTTTGTGGCCAACAATGAAATTTCCCTGTAAAACTGCATAAGTTTTAACAAAAAAAAAAAAAAAAAACACACCAGTAAGTTATATGCATAAGTTTTAAACTGTCTTAGTAGCCACTGGCCACCTCACTTAAATGGCAAAGAGAGAAGAGTCCTGAAGTGACATTTATCCCCGTTTACATGATTAAAAAAAAACAGGAAAAATCACATTCCCAAATTCAACCCATTGTTTAAAGCACTTTAAAACACAATTTTGCTTTGTTGCTATAGTTTTGGAATAGTTTGCCAAAATCTGTATTTAACACAATACAGTAGAGTATTTTACTTCCCAACAGTATACAGAATGGATAAAGAAAGTTCAAAAACCAAAAAGTCAAACCAAAAACGTTAGTTACACAACCTTTTCATGCTAGAAAATTACATAAGGTGTTGATTTTCTTACTTTATAAAGAAACACTCTCAACACACCAAAAACTAGCAATTAAGAATTTTAATGTAAAAAACAAAAACAATGTTTTCCATGATATTAAATGGTTATCTTCAGGTTTTTAAAATGGAAGAAAATATAGACTAAATATTCAAAATTAAAAAAAACCCATGTATTCCATATTTTGTTATATTTAAAAAAACCTGAAGAGACTGTTTACTGTGGTGAAAAACATCTGTTTTTAGATTAAAATTCTTCTTTGTTGCTGGGTTTTGGTGCTTGAGTATGTATCTTCAGTAATTTTCAGTCAACTTTTTCAACAGTCAATGTTTTTCATAACCTCACTTAAAATGACCATCTCAATTAGGGGGCCAGATGTCGTAAAACAAAACAAGCCAGATAAGTAAAGTTTTATCATACATAAATTATATAACATGTGATGATTTTATATCGTTCAAATATCCTATCAGAACAGTCTTGTGATATACTGTATATTGGTAACTTAAGATAAAACAAATTTCATAAAATGTGAAGATGCTTACCTAGACTAATATATTCTAAGATTATAAATTCTGTGAATGATGTACAGGTAACCTCCGTATAACACGGTAGTTACGTTCCAAAAAATTGCAGTGTTATGCGAATCATGTTATACAAAACAAAGAACTAATACGAAAAGGAGGGTTAGGTTCCAAAAATTAAAAAACATGCTATTATATTTTCATAATTAAGATAAATATCTTTTAAAAGGTCTTTATAAATTTCCTTATATGGTGCTAAGCACTTATGAAGAATAAAGCAAGTATAAAATAAGGGAAAAACATTCGGCAACATCAGAAGCAGAAGCATCGCGATCTGGCAACATTGAAACAAGAAGGACCACGTGTATCGACAGAAGGCGAGAAGAGAAAATTTACATACTTAAGTACTGATAGTTCACGAAAATAATAATTTTCGTGAACTATTATTAGTTAAGTATGTAAAAATTTATTACATTTCCTGTTGTACGAGAGTTTTACCCAATTCTCAAACCGTGTCAGAGTGAATCCGTGCTATAAAAGTACTGTGTTATACGGGGATGGTACCAATTCTCGAACCGTGTTAGAGTGAATCCGTGCTATAGAAGTGCCGTGTTATACGGGGGTTACCTGTATACACATGTCTAATTTATTGCTATGCAAAGAAAATGATACCAATTGTAGTAGTAGCTCAGATAAACATTAGTGAGATTACTACTTGAAAAATATCACCACACTAACTTCAAAGACCATAAATATCTTGAATACAGGTAAGACGTTTGAATGAATGGTGCAACAAGACAATCATAGAAATATTAGTGTAAAGACAATTTTGCAACCTAGAAATTATTGTATTTTGTCCCAATATCATTCAAGTCTAAATAAAAAAATAATGAAGTCACTTTATTAAATGCTTTATGATTACTGAACTAAATATGTAAATATTGTTAAGATTAATACATATATTTTGAAAGAACAGCAGTGTATGTATCAGGAATAGTCTAATTACAAAACTTATTACAGATTATATGTAAAATTTACATTTATTTATAAAATGAACGTACTTATCTCCATTAAGTTATTGGACGGGGCTGCATCTCTTGCACGACCACGCATAGCTCCTCGTGGTCCACGACCACGCCAGGAGTTTCTTCTTACATTATTTCCAGAAACGCCGAAGGTTTCGATATTCAATTTCCTTTCCAGACGCCAATCAAAACGTTGAGTATTGCTGCAATTTTTTGAAAATAAATACTAATATATAGTAATAATATTAAATATTAAAATGCACATATTCAGCAGATAAGAGAAATTTGAACAGTGCAGACTGCCTACAAAAAAAACTTAAAGAATCCAAAATTAGAGTAACTTACCCTTTACTTCTTTCTAAGGCATCGCAACTTATAGAATCATAAAATGATTTTCTTTTATCATAGCAAATATTGTCATCAGTATCGCCTTCTGTTTCATCATCTAAAATTAAGATTTTATTAAAAGCATCTAAATACACTAATTATTAGGTATGACTAGATAATCAGGATTACAAATCTTTTTATGACTTTTTATGAAAAAAAATAAAGGCATAATATTTCTCTGGAAATGTCACATACACATGCAACATTTCACATGCAGTATAAAATAATCTTATCTATGTTGTTCTTACAATAAAAAGATTTAACATTCTAAAAATCCATTAATCTTTAATAAAACATGAATTTTTTTAATGTATAAAATGAACTTACATTTTTGTATTGCCATAAATTATAACAGAAGAATTTTTTCTAATACTGTAAACAATGTATTAGAAAAAACTGATAACTTTAGCAAGTTGTAATCAGTTTTGGAGAATAGTCACTCCAAATATGGTCATTTAATTAGTATAAAATTGTAGTGTGTTAAACTGTCTTACAGGCTGTATTCACACATATATGTTATTATTTGCAACTCTTCTTAAACAACTTTTAAGTATACATTTACAGTAAACAAGTTTAATGCAAGTACTTTCAATAATTAACACATTGTTAGGTGGTCAGGAAAACAGCATAAGAACAATTCAAATGTAATAAATATCATACATTCAATTTGCACATCAATGGATTTACATTTAATTTTCATATAGCTGGTAACAACTTTACACCAAAATTAATAAAGTATTTGCATAGTTGTATTTCTTTTGGAATTAGCACAAGGTTGCTGTTGAACAAATCACACAGGAACTCTCTTTATGATGGAAAAAGTAGGTTTATTTTATCTATTTTTCATTTTTGTATTTTATTGTGAAGCTTCAAAAGAAAGGCCGTCTGTGTGTTTGTTAATTTTTTGTGGACTGTTGCTGATGTGAATGACGGAATGGAAAGGGAGGCAAAATTTCCTTTGTTTACATATGATATTTTTTAATATTTATTAGGTGTATTTTCTGTAATTTAAAAGGTGATGCATTTCGGGCTTAATGCCCCTCTTCAGTCTTATTTTATTAAATATATGAAAAGTTATGTAAGAAATTACAGAATGTATTAAATTATATTTAACATATGCATACAAAAGTATTCTTAAAAAATATAATTACCTAAAAAATATTATAGTGACAGATGGAATAACTAATTATTAAAATTTTTAACCCTTAACCCCAGTAAGCAATCAAGTACTATTTGAATAGTGTTAATTTAAAGGTTTATTGTATAATTATGGTGGCTTCACCGACATGAGATGTTTGAATAGAAGCAGACTTACACAAAGAAAGGGTCCAACTGAAATAGGATGTCATATATAACCAGAAAAAATTGAAAATCTCAGAGTTAAACATCTTAGGCTTTATGAGATTTTAAAGTTTGATGTTTGAAAATCACAAAACCATTGGACTTTATTGTTTGGTTTTACTATAGATTATTCTTTATTACATTTTAAAATTATAGCTAATAAAATCTAAACATATAAAATTACTTGTCCCGACTGATTGATTCATCATCATCCAGGGCAAACCACTGAACCTAGAGGCAAAATTTGGTACACAGTTCGGGTATGTCATGAAAACGAACACTAAGAAGGGATTTTTCGAAATTCCCTCGCGGGGGAGAGAAGAGGATTATGGCTTAACCTGAACAACAGCTTCTACTGTGCTATTTTAGATGTGATTTTTTGTTTTTAACTGCGTTTTAGTAGGGGACGCCATGGGAATGCACACTAAGAAGGGATTTTTCGAAATTCCCCCCGCAAGGGGAGAGGAAGAGGATTAACCTGAAGAAAGACTTCTACTTTATTGTCTTAGATGTGATTTTTTGTTTTCAACTATGTTTAGTCTTCATTGAGTACTTAGGTGTATTAAATTGATAACATTTCAGACATTGTTATAAATATTTTTATATACTATATTTCAAATTTTTAACCAAATGTTTGAACCATTTTAAATTCAAATTTGTTATTGCATATTGGTTTGATTATAGAACGATTGTAAATGTTCCAGAAAATTGATCAAATTGAAAACAGTTTGTTTTATTCTCAGTAATTCTCACCATTCTCAGCAGTAGGTGTTATATAACAATTACTATAGTTATTGAAATGCTGAATATAAATGGGATTTGCTTGCAAAATCCCTGCGGGTAAAGTCGCGGGTAACAGCTAGTATATGTATATAACTATTATTTAAAAATGATAATATAGATTAAGTATGTTACTAAATCTAAGTGATATGAAACATCAGACTTGAACCATCAAAAATGGTTAGAGGCAAGAGCATCTACATAAGTTATATAATAAGCACTTAATAGTTTTATCATAATACAATTAAAACACACATCTCTAATTTTAATTGAATTATGAACACCTGAAAGACAATGATTTCTGAATTAAGATTAATTCTGAATCCCATTTAGTTTTTTTTATAAAGATTCTATCTCCAAGTATATCAAATGATTTAAATTGTTATAACTGACAAATTTTCTTAATACATAACAATTGCCTTTTTATTGTTTTAAATTCAATTGAATGCTGATGTTAATGAATCATTTATAAAAATTTTATTAAAAAAATTCCCCATAAGTAGTAGTAATGATTGTGTAACATAAAATACAATACAAAAACTCACTGATAATTTTGATATCATTTGCTGTTTATACATAATTTCTGGTTTGGCAGATTTAACATATGATCTACTATAACCTTATAGATATTTTGTAGAAGTACATAATTGCTTTGCTAATTTAACTTGCCTGAAAACTTCAATAATTTGATAAGTGTAAACTAATTTAGCTTATATAAAATAATTAAGAAAAAAATTGTATAAATCTATTACGTTTTGTACAGGTCATTTATATCTTTTAGTTCAGATAAAATATTCAGTATATAGCATAAGAATATAATAATGTAATGATATTCAAGGTACTGATAAGATGACATCATAATGTGCTATCTTCATGAAAAATTTCCAGACTGAAGAAATGATTGTGGGGGTTTAGATCCCCCTCAAGTGATCTTCACACTCAGATTAACATTCCTAGTATTAAATCTAATGCCATTTTACAAAAAAGGATTTGTTCCTTAGCAGCTACAGTAATTCGAAGATCCGTAAGACAGGATAAATCAGTCACAAGTATAACAAAACTTAACTATAGTATAAACTGATTCAGATGGAATGTAGCTTCCATGTGTAATGCTGTATACATTGAACACCTGCGTAGAAAAAGTTTTATTCATAATTTATTGTGAAGCAAAAAGTGTTTACTGAACATCTTAAGTACAATGTGTACATTGTACTTAAGATGTTCAGTAAACACTTTTTACATCTTAAGTACAAATGTGTACATCTTAAACACTTTTAAACATCTTAAGTACAATGTGTACAGTACATTGTACTTAAGATGTTCAGTAAATAAAACTTTACAGAAAATAAAATGATTTATAGCATGAAATATAATTTTGTCCAAAAAAAATTTGCAACTGAAGCTTTTTGAAGAAAATATTTATGAATTTCACAATAAAAACATCCTTTTCATTTCATATTATACTATATAATTTTGCACTTATAATAAAATGATAAAACTGAAATTTTATGTATTACCTGTTTTCATTTGCTCAAGTTTATCTTGAATTTGCATGAATTCGGCATTTGCTTGCTCAAAATCATATTCTTCTTCAAAGTGCAAAGTTGGAGTTTTATTAGAGGTACTTGTTCTGCGATTTCTTCCTCTTCGATTTCCTAATAAAATTTAAACTAACATTTAATTGACTGAGATATCAATAAATAAAAAGCAAACTTGTAATTACTTCTTGACTGCTTGTTTCTGTTTGCTTGATTATTTTTACGCACATTCTCCTTTTCTTTTTCTTTGTTGTCATTGTTGAGGTTAGCATTGTCATTGGCGTTGTCAGCAGGCACTTGAATGCTAACGTCTACAGTGGGACTTTTACGCATTTGGAAAGTAGGAGTTGAACGAGCACCTATAAGAAAATCAATATTTAAACAAAAAAAAGTAATCCCCATTTGTTCCAAAATTAAAAAATTATAGTCTGCATTAATTTAAACAGTTTTCTTCACAATATATGGACATATTCATACAGACACGACATTCATTTATATGCCACCATATGAGCCTCTCCCATTGGCTAGCATCACAAACGAATCTCCCATCTTTTGACTTTCAAGGGTCCACTTGTTTACCTCAGAATGGTTTCACATACTCCTGAACGCTTTTCAAAGTTCTTTTCAACTTTTCCTTATATTTACTTGTACACTATGAAGTTTTAGATTTTAATAATTAGTTAACAAATATATAATAAACAATGCCTAAAAATATTTTCAGTTATTTATCTTACATAAAGACAGCTGCAATAAAAAGCCTTTAATATTAAAATGCAAAAACTAAGCCTTCTTTTAAAGCTTGATACATCTTGGTTGAATTATTATTCCACTTCATATGCAAACCATTATCACAAGATGGAGTGTAAGTTGTCTGGACGAAATAAAATGCAATACCAAGATTCATCCCTAAAATATTTTAGAACGAAACAATTGGGAAACAATTCTGAAGTGTCAAGAGACTGCAGTAACTCCTCCTGTAGACAACTTAGCAAAATGCTTAATCTGTTTAATGCAAAGAAAAAAAAACCAAATTACAATACACTATAACAACCAGGTTTTATAGCTCAGTTTTGGTTTATAGCCCAAGTTATAATGTTATATGGAGGGGAAAGAAAAAGATATTTACCGATGCAAGCACAACACATACCACACCCCTACCACATCTATAACTATGAATGTGCAGTAAATAATGTGCCATTTACTGATACATTAAATGTAATAAAGTAATTGTTTATACTGTATTTTATTATTTATGTTGAAATTCATTATTAACATTGCACAGCAATGTTACCAAAGTTAGTTTTGGTTTTGACTGCTTGAATTTGGAATTCCCTCACAGACAAATGATGTTAAGTGATTTACTTAAAATTACATTTGCTCTGTAATGAATTATTTCAGATTTTTCCCTGAAATTTATGCTACTTGTCAGATGCTGCACATTTAAAAATTGGTTTTAGAGCACAAAGATGACATTTGTAATGAGTTCAATTATAAGGACTGTAATAATAGAAATCTGCAAAATTCAAAAGATAACTTTTTGACAACGTTTGAATGACAAGTTGACAAAACTGTTTCAAACGCAGAATGAATTTCTTGTTGAAATGCTGTTGTGAAAAGATTTAATGCCCTAAATTTTTATAAGTACAACTTGGATCATAAATTTGCAACTCCATTCAATATTTGAATTCTGATGTTAACATTTCCCTTTGTTAATAATTTTCCATTTTCGTTTGCTAAAACATTCTGTTACATTAAATGTTGTTAATGAACATTATAAAACTAATTATTACATACTTACTAGATGACTGCGAATTCACAACATGTGGCACATGGGTAATTCCAGAAAATGGATAAGGTGAAAAGGTACCAAGAGGTGCATATGTATGTGCACATGAACCACCAAACGGCATTGTCAACGAAACAGTAGGAGCAGAATGCTTATTAAGAAAAAAGTTTAAGTTTATAGTTTCAATCACTGATCTTTAGAACTGGTTAAATTTATTACTTACTTGGACAATGGCAGGATCATTGGGAAGACCACCAGCAAGGGTAGGTTGTGGCTTAGGAGGTTCACAGACACGTAAATCCTTAATATCTGTAGCTCTAAAGATGATGTATTCATATACTTCATCTCGAGGTGCAACTGGCCGATCTGTAGGTCTATCTTCTGTGCCAAAAGATTTCACTACAAAAGAAAAATATTAACTTTAGTTATATTATATCTTCTATGATAATGATAAATCTAAGTTTTATTGAATTTCTTCTCTAGTCATATTAGTAATTCAAATTTAAATAAGCTTCAAAGCAGAGATTAGATATAAAAAGTAAAATCTTTACTTTTGAAAAGAAAAAACTTCAGGAATTATTTTAACTATCCTAAGTATGTAACTGATAAATTTTTATTCTGAAAGTACAAAACTTCCAAAAGTGATATTCTAGATTAGGGGTCCCCAAAGTGGTCGATAAGAGTTCTCCAGGGGTCGATTAATACACGAGGGTCGAAAGGGGGTCGATTAATACCAAAGACGATTAATTAAATTGTCTAAGAAAAAAATAGAATATTCCAATAAAAATTTGAAATACAGATGTGATCAACATTACTGACTACCCTAGTTATAGCTTGAGTTTTGCCTTAGCCTACGCTGCTTTAAGCATGTATTACTCTGTTTTCACACATATGGCAACTGGACTAGAGTTGCAAACATGTTATGAATGCTGGTAGTTCAGAAATACGTTGCACTGTTACACTCTAGTAAGATTGTCACTCTAGTATTTTATATCTAAATGTAGATATTTTGTCTTTTACAGAGAAAATATCGTAATATATCGAAAATCATTAATATAGTACAGAAGCGTTTGCAAGGAAAAACGTTACAATTGTTTAAGCTCGAACAATCATAATGGCTTTTCAAACATGGAAAATGGAGAAATTTAAATCTTCATTAACACGATCCGATTTTAAACATTTTTCAAACTTGTGAGTACTAAAAAAAATAAAAAGATTTCCGACCGTGATTTGCAGACATATATTAAACATCTTGATAAATTAAGAGAAAACTTTAAAACATGTTTCGAAGACTCGGAGAATATGCATGTTCCCGAATGGTTTGCTAATCCATTTGATGTAAAAATAGATAATGAAGATAGTAAACCTGGCTTAGAAGATGAACTGAGTGAAATGTGTGTAGATTTCGAAGCTAAAGCGTTGTTTAAAAATAAAAGCCTCAGTGAATTTTGGAGCAATAACAATATTGCCCTAAATATCCCAAGCTCAGAGCAGAAGCCAAACTTTTCTTACTTGCATTCCCAACTTCATACATGGTTGAAACTGGTTTTAGCCACGCGAACGCAATTTTGACAAAACAGAGGAACAGATTGAAATTGGAAAACTGTGGTGATTTATGACTGAAACTTACCAATTTTCAACCGCATATCAATAATTTTTCTGCTTCTCTTTAGACTCATCCATCCCACTAATGTGAACTATTTTAATAAAAAAGCATGTCAACATATTTTTAAGGAATTCAGTAGTAGTTGCAAAATGACAGCAAGAGGTTTTTTTCATCCAATATAACTTATGTTTTCAAAGATAAGTGTGTATTTTACATATTATGACACGTACAGTTTAAGAACTATAGGCAAATTTCTATCAATCCATAATTTTGCTATTATTTTTTAAGATCATAAATCAGTGAAAAAGATCTCCTTTTTCTCTTAATGTTATTGGATGGATTTTATAAGATATGGAAACTACAAATTCTTTTGTTGGATTGTTATGTAGGACTCCTTATCGCTTAACATTAGAAATGCCAAAATGATTTAATGTGTTTGTTAAATACTTAATCTGGGGGGTCGATAAGAAGGCAAATATTCTATAAAGGGGTCGACAGGATAAAAAGTTTGGGGACCCCTATTCTAGATCTAAGAAGGTATCTTTTTAGATCTAGAAATCTAATAAATAATATTGAAGAACAAAATTAACAGGATGGCATTGTCATCACAAAACTAAAAAATTAAAAGAATGAACAAACATTTTTTCAGAATAGATATACAGAGGGTGATTGGTTAACAAACACTTTTGTGAAAAATTTTTATGTTCGGACAACGAATGCCTCACAGAACAAATACAAGCAGCAGCGACGTAAAATAATGAATAACGATTGGTCTTCCCTTGTCTTCAGGCAACAATTTGAAACTTTTTGGAGCGCAGGAGACGTCAACATTGATCCGGTATATACTGATCAGATAGTATTCCTCCAAACTTTGAAACTCTCCCTTGTAATTCCAGCCTTTTATTTTTCTGACAGATTCTTTAATCCTCCAAACGGAAAAAACATGACTAATAAAAATGCAAGACTGTGTATATATGTATTTTTATTATTGCATATAAATAAACATAGTAAGAAAGTACATATTTTTTATTTTTTGGGGTCTCCATAACGAATTAATCAAATTCCCATAAAAACCTATGGTAAATCGATAATCGGTTAACGAACAATTGGGATAAAACATGACTAATAAAAATGCAAGACTGTATATATGTATTTTTATTATTACATATAAATAAACGTAGTAAGAAAGTACATATTTTTTATTTTTTGGGTTCTCCATAACGAATTAATCAAATTCCCATAAAAACCTATGGTAAATCAATAATCAATTAATGAACAATTCGGATAGCGAACAAAGTCTTGGAATGGATTATGTTCATTAACTGATCACCCACTGTATTTCTAATGCTTGGAAGTCCCTCTATGAGAGCCAATGACCTCTAACTTTCTATTATTCTAATGGATGAATAATGGGGTACTTTAATTGTGCCATATAGTTTTATTTCTTCAAAACGAATGATGAACTTTTACAAATATTAACATCACAATTAATTCTTCATGACTTGTTAATTATATTACTTTATATTTTTAATTATGAGTTTTAATCTAAGTAATTTTATTGTATTTTGTATGCTCTGGTTTAAATGTTTTATTCATTTCTATTTGAACAGTTTGAATTTGTAAACATGCTATTCTATTTCATGTTCTGCAAATGTTAATTTTATAATTTTTATAATGGTCTAGTCCAGATTCAGTTCCTTTTATACATTATGGCCTGATGATGGTCATTGAATATAGCCAACTAGTTCTCTGGACTATGGAAACACTGTTTCAGTGTAAATTTAGTTATTCAACTCTGACATTTTACATATCCAGAACTTTAATGCTAACGTTTTTGGCTATATTGTTGATGATGAATGATGATGCTAGTACACTATACCATTCACAGATGCTAGTACACTATAAGTGGTTCTCTGTTACATCAAACAATATGTCAATGCAATATCACCAAATTTAATATCCATGTGACATTGGCATAATATTGCAGTCTCATCATACTTTACTTCTCTTTGACCAAACAGAGTTGATTAATTTTATAAAACTAAAGATTTTAAATTTACATATGTATTTAAACACATGGTATTTTTTATTTTATTTCAGCATTTCATATGGTTACTAAACATTTAAAACTTAATTATAGAGTTNTCCCTTGTAATTCCAGCCTTTTATTTTTCTGACAGATTCTTTAATCCTCCAAACGGAAAAAACATGACTAATAAAAATGCAAGACTGTGTATATATGTATTTTTATTATTGCATATAAATAAACATAGTAAGAAAGTACATATTTTTTATTTTTTGTGGGTCTTTAGAATGAATGAATCAAATTCCCATAAAAATCTATGGTAAATTGATAATTGGTTAAAAAATTCAGATAGTGATCAAAGTCTCGGAATGCATTATGTTCGTTAACCAATCACCCACTGTATTTAAATCCAATTTCATATACTACATAAACTTAAATTAGAGATGTTCTAAAATTAAAAATTATCATCATATTTGAACAGATATTTGTTAAGCCAGTTTTCTGGTTAACTGTTGAATGTATTAAACCTTGGTACCATATCTGTAAAAGGAGACAAATTACTACTAAATTTCTTGAGAACCAAATGTGTTTATTAAACAAACATGTGTGACTCCTAACAGTTGGACCATCTCCAGCAAACAAAAATGAAATAGAAAATCAATGAAATTGAACATTTTTGTTTTCTGACTGTTTTCTTGTTTTCAACTCAATACATTTGGTTTACAATAAATTTATCAGAAACTTCTTTCTCCTTATCCAGTTAAATTTTATAATCTGTACAATATAATAATTATTAGTTAAAAGTTTTACAAAAATACAACATTAAACAAATTGTCTTTAGGTGTTAACATTACAAAAAAAGCTGTTATGTTTATAAAGGAAAGTAATTATTAGCTGCCATAATTTGTGCAGATAAGCTAATTTTAAATCACAATTACAAACTCATAAAACAGCTTTCTTTCTCTGATGTCATTTAAAAAGAATGAAAAATCCATTCTGTACTGAAAACGTTCTGCCATTGTGGTTTCTTTCCAACCAAATATATCTATGCATATCTCCTATTAATTTTCTGCACACCTAATCTAGATTGTAACATGATATTAGACATTCCTATTTGAATTTGTATTTTGAAAGAGGATAATTACCAGAATTTATCAAATATTTAGATGAAATCATTTCAGGAAAGTTTAAAAGTTAAAACATTAGAATGAAAGTGTGTGACAAACTCATTGCTCCATTTATCACTATAAAGTGAACTTAGGACTAAAAATAAATTACACACATTCAAAACGGATTTATGTAAGCTTTATGCTGTAACATTTTATTTTGTTTATATACAACAACATTTCATTAGCAAAATGAAGCAAATAAACCAAAATTGCAAACTATAATAAGATGAATTTCCATACTACTATTGATAGATTTTGTATAAATGCCACTTTAATTATATTTAAATAACTTCAAGAGTTTGAAGACAATGGTAAAATAAATTTTCATTAATGCTTTCTAAACCAGCAGTTCAACCTTTTTGACTTGCGGAGCCCTTTTTAGAATCAATTTCTATAGCACTGCCCCTTAGGCCTATCCTGTCTTACAAGGTAATGATGTTTATTAGTAGTATTATGGGAGGAGCCTTTTGATGTAATCTGGCAATTGTTTGGCATTAACAGTTTACTATATTGTTCAATATGTAACATTACATCTGACTATAAATTGAACGTTTGTAAAAATAGAAACTGCAAATATGGAAATTCAGATACTCAAAAC